ATGCGTCGTGTTTCTACTCTCGAATCCCCAATCTAGCCACAATACATCGAGGGGTTTATGCCAGGGTATGATGTGTAGCAATACGAGCGGCAAGATATAGAAACACCCAACACCATACTCCGTTACCCGCTGGACTAAAATGATGACTAAAGACAGCCCACATGTAGCCGATAACACTGTGCGCCAGACATGCCCGATAACTTGTTAAAGACAAATCAGACCAAAAAGATTGACTGAAACGTGCAAAAGAGACCCGACGTGCTCACGAATTGATGAGTACCCATCGCTTTTCTTTCTCGGTGGGGCCTACCCTTGCAGCAACAACACTCAGAGTATTGGAGATGGCGTCTTTTGGTAGCTTCGGAAAGGCTTTCTTCAAAGACTCAATCATACCAAGCTTAGTGAGATCTTTGCCTTCAATCTCCGCCTTGAAGGCGGAAAGTTGCTCAGTAGGTACCATTCGTTTGGCCTTGGCGGGTTTACCCGATGTACTCGACGGAGCGTTCTGAGGGCCATTTAGGGTGTTGAACAAGCCGTTCATAGTGCGCTGCGTGAGCGGTGCTTTGGGTGGATTCATGGCGCCATTACTGGCTGTTTCTTTGTTTGCCGTGGTGGGGGCGGGGGTTGCAGTTGCCGGATCCGGCGCCCAGTATGCGGTAGAGAAGGGATCAATCGACCGCATTTGCGGATCCAGTAAGAACTCCATCTTGAATTCTTTGAAGTCTGTACAAATGGCGTCGGATCCGTCGTTCAGCCGAGATACGCTCTCGGCATCCTCCCAGCACAAGCCAGTGCTAACGGGTACCAGGTCGCCGCTAATGAGTCCGCGTTTGAGTTGCGGATCCTCTTCATCATCAAGGAAGCCATCCATATCGTCATCTGCCTCATCTTCGTTGTCGTCTTCACCGTCAGAGTCCAAATCTTCGCCTTCCTCGGGCTCATCCCACTCAGCTTCAGAGTCGTAGTCATAATCGGTATCCTTTCGGACTCTTGATACAGGATTGCGTGCAAGACGAGAAGCCTCGGTGCGTGTGTATAGCCTAGTATATGTTCCATGATAGGGCGGGCGTACGTCTGTGCAGAAGTGAATATACTTCATCGGTATCTCCTTGAGCATCTCCAATGGATGTCGTGATGCTGCACTCTTCGTAGAAGTGATATCGATAGGGTGGTCAGATGAGTTGTTGACGCAATCCACAATTTCTGCAATTGTAGCTGTCCGATGGCCCCGAACATTTTGCTTTGGGAAGAGTGACACCAAGGTCTCCCGCGCTATTGATTCCGAATACGAATCTTTTTGTGCAATGATATTCTCTAGTCGGTTTCGAGCGGCTTCTAATCGTTCTGGACTGTTCAGAAGGGCATTCGTCGGCGCAAGAATCGTGTGTGCGGGTACGTTAAACGGCAAGAAGTAACGTTCGTAGTCTGACTTTGCATCTTTGACGATAGTCTTCTGTGGGGAGGGCGGGATCGAGTTAGTACTTGCTCCAGATCTGTCTGGTAATGATACGGAGTTTGTGGGATTCTGGGATGAAGCTACCACAGCCTGTCCCGGGCTTGTCCCTGCCTTTGGCTTCACAAAGAAAGCGTTCAGCTTCATCTGTGACTGTTGTCGAGTTAGCGTCGCTCAGTTTAGTAAACGTAGCACCAGGAAATAACTCGGTGCTGCAGTCAGAGAAAAGTATTGCGGAACATGGCAACAGCATCCCTCTCTGTTCTCAGTGAATGTAGACTCACCCGTGCCTTCTTTGCCTTTTCCTCCTCAAGGCGTTGCTGCTCCTCCTCTTTTATGCGCTTCTTTTCATCACGCTCCTCATGCTTTTTCCTTTTCTCCTCTGCCTTGAGTTTCTCCTCAGCCTCCTTTTGTGCCTTCTTCTCTTCTCGCGCCTTAGCCTTCGCTTCCTTTTCAAGACGCTGTGCCTCTTTCTCTTGCGTGGTCAGCTTCCTCCTTTTGGCTGCTTGCTGTGTGTTGCTTGATGTGGCGACATCTGTGTTGGAAAGACCATGACCGTCGGCAGACTTGCTGTTGGGCCCGGTCGAAATCGGTGCGCTACTCTTTAGAGGCGATGGTGTTTGAACTGAGAGAACTGAAAGGGGTGTTGAGGCTTGCGAACTGGTTGTGGACTTGGCTGGTGTGATAGGAGGCTCGACTTCATCTTCGAGCGGACGTTTCTGGGGAACCGGTGCGACGGGGGTGGGGTCCTCCATTTTTGGTGATGAGTGCTGTGATTTCGAATTGGGATTCTTTGTGAATTGTATCCTTTTGAACGAATTGTGGCCCAAAATGGATTAGGTGGGATGCGTTGTAGTTGAGAGCGGGATGGCGATTGCGGGCGTTGAGGTGACGCGAAGGTGGAGGGCGCGACGCGATACGCGTGGAAGGCGCGGCTAAGGCCCAGGGTGCTGATTAGTCGATTGCCGCACTCTTCAGGGCGAATAGTGCCTAGATTCCTATTTGGGAATAGTCAATATGCGTGAAACTCTAACGCCAACATCTCACTCTCTCGGAACCCATTGGAGAGTTTTAAAATCGAGCTTGTGGCGCAGGAAAAGTATATAGTTTTGCATTGGTGCATTGAAAAGATCGGGATGGTTCCCATCTTTTGTGAACGCGGTTGCAGGCGTCGTGCCTTCTTGTCGCAGCGTAGCGCACCGTCGTTCTTTCCATCAGAGCACTCGCCCTAAGACTCATATTAATTTAATCATGCCGCATTCCATTTGTCTCCAGTGATATTCTAAAAACTGGTCTTTGTCTCTATTCTGACCTGCTGTGTCTTGTCGGTGGCCCCAGCTATGGACGAAGACGACTTTGAGGACCTGCTCTTTGGAGACCCAGGCACGCCAATGTGTCCAAGCGACATCTTGCTCGATGAATCTGACGACGATATTCTCTTCTCTAATCGGAATGCACATTCCCACGATTGGGAGCCGGCAGATGCCATCAGTTCACCTACTGTTGCTAGTGTGCTATCTAGGGGGCACATACCCCCGAACAGCGAAACCGATAATTACGAACAGCATGACCGCCATATCGCTGAGGTCACTCAGAGCTCTGTTCGCGACAGGTCTTTGCGTCATATTAACCCTGGGGAATTACAGCTTACTCACTGATAGGTACTGGGTGATCGCTCGCATTGAAGCCATGCTAGAAAGAATCATTGACGGTCTTTTGGGACAACATGAGTCGCTTACCATAACCCTGAAATCTCGTGCAGCCTTTTCTCGTAGAAATGCTCCCAGTAATGAAGGAGATGGATCAATTCCCAAGCCCAAAGAGCGCGACATCAACTTCCCAGGCGCCAATGCTCAAGAAGCTTGGAAATTCAGTTGGTGTCCTTCCGTTTTCCAGAGTGACTACTGACATTCTCAGCTGTGCTGTTACGCATTCTGGAGCTCATTCATGGTAGTCTTCTCAACAATACCTTCATGACCAAGCGGTACTATATGCTGTCTCATTCATAGAGAACACAATCTAACAAGAAATAGAGACGTCTACTATCGACATCCCGATCTATTCGTCAAGCAGTCTGTTGTAGATCGATACGTAGATGATCTTGCATGCACGTTTGGCATTACTAGATCACAATTGAATGTGGTACGCAATGTCCGGAGAGGGCAATTTGACACGGCTAATACCTGTACACCAGACTGCTGCCGCGAAAGGCTTAGTGGCTGGAAACTTCAAATTGGAGCAAGCCAGCAATCTGTTTCATGGAATGAGCAGTATTGAGGTGGGATAGAGCATGCCAGTTGCGTCACAGAAGTCTAATCCCATACCAGGGCCTGCTCATTCCCGTCGTTCGTGACAATGATAGCTGGGATTTGACAGAAATCCAATGGGTCCTCATAATCGAAAAGGAGGTATGATCAGCTCTCTTACGTACTCTGAGCTGAGGTATTGATGAAAAGTAGGCGACATTTCGATCATTGATTGGATCAGCGCAATGGAGTACGTTGGGCTTGCACGGTGTGGTAGTAACTGTGAGTCAAAAGCACACGTTGTCAATAAATGCTAATGATTAGAATAGGCCAAAGGATATCCCGATGTCGCCTCCAGGCAGTTTCTGCGCCAGCTTGGGAACACTGCACCCCACATTCCCATGTTCGTTTTGGTAGATCTTGACCCCGATGGTATCGCCATTCTGTCCACGTACAAATACGGTTCGTACCGCCTTATGCACGAAGACGTCGCACTCATGGATACACATGCACTGAGTCTGCCCAATGTCCGGTGGCTGGGTGTAAAGAGTGACGACATAAGTCTAAGTGAGGTAAGTGAGGACGGGACAGAGAGGAAGTCGATATATCAACTACAAGGCCTAATGAGGCTCACAATGCGCGACCGCACTAAAGCAACACAAATGCTGGAGTGGGATCTGTGCGGAGAAGATGGACTTGAGCAAGGCTGGAGACGGGAGTTACAATGGATGCTCATGCTAAATGTCAAGGCCGAGATGCAAGTACTCGATGAGCTACCTGGCGGATTGGTGTCATGGCTGAGCAACCAGCTTGGAGATGCAGATGATCTACTAATAAGTGCTACAAAGATCGGCAGTGACTGTTCAGACGACGGCATGCTCTTCTAAGGGCATTGCAAGGGCTTGAACTTCAATTGTTGATCGTACACGGACGTGTGGAGGCTACATGTCCTACCTGATTTCCTGCAAAGGACATGTGCAATGCTTTCCCTATTTGCTGGAAGCATCATTGATGCATTTCGTACAAGACATCAAAATTACAAAGGCGTCAATCAGTCCCCGCATTTTACTGTGGTCTCGTCTGCGAACCTACTGCAAGTAGCGCTAATGGAGTAAGCGTTTGTTATGAAGAGCGGTTGTCCAATGGGATGTGAGCCGTGCCGAATACCCTGCCAAGACTGGCGGTCCATGTCGGCCAACGCATCATCCTTCTCAATCACTGCAGGCCACGTTCAACAACTCGGACGGCACGCAAAGCGGGCCTACAATGCATTGACCTGCAGTTTAGAAACAGAGCCCACCATGTCCGGATCCGCCGCCCTTCCAAACGACCCCCGCATTTCCTTTCAGGCGCCATCGCTGTCGCAAGGCTCCGCCAGCCACTCCAGTTGCGAGCAACATGGCTCAGCTACCACCGAGTCGAATGCAACCCCGCAGCCATTGACGTCTACAACAACCACTAAGCAGTCGGTGCCTCTGGGTGTCTTCTCGACCCTCCTAGGGAACAACTCCACGTCCACACTCAGTGCCCAACCCATCTTGTCGGACGAGGCGGTCCCGGCCATCCTCATCCACGCCCAACCCCCGGACACAGAAGAAGGCCCTTCTGACCTCACCGCGAGCTTGTCATCAGTGCCCAGTGCGACTACCACGCTGACGAACACGTTGCCACCGACTCAGTCTGCCGCCCTTCGCGCCCTCAATGCCCCCGCCTTCCATTCGTCTCCTTCAAAGAGCAAGTCCGCAAAGTCGACATCTAGTCGAACAACTGTCACTAGTCAGCCTGTCGTGGTACGCACGTACTCGGGTTCACGGCATACTTCTCGCGCTGGGTCAGGGTTCAACACCCCGCGCTCTTTTGCAATGAATGGGAATAATCACACTTCAGCCCTGTCAGCTGGTCTGGCAGGTACAAGTGAGCAGTTACCCTCTGCCGATGACTTTTCCTTCTCAGCAATCCTACGTGCCGTCGACCCTGAGATCAGAGATGCGATTGATGCTATTGCTGAGATCTGTGCTAGGAGCAGGATGAGTCTGGCAGATGAGTACGACTCACATCTCCCCCCACAGGGCGAGATCACTGGGACGGGACCAGGTTGGGCTGCTAGCACCGGAGCACTTGTAGGACGTGGCCGGTTGAACCGAATCAGCCAAGGATGGACTGCCGCAGACAATACACTGATGGCTGTGCCTGAAGCCAGTAGCTCTAGCGAAAGATTGGCACAAGAGGGTAAGGCGGAGAGCAACAAGAAACGAAGCCAGTCAGCATATGGCAGCTTGAAGAGTGTCATTAGTGGTGGCAGTGGTAAGAGAAAAGCCATTGATGGCGATACCTTTCGCGAGCAAGAGGCCAGCAGCTCGAAGCAAGATGAAGTGCAGAACCGAGGACCTCCTTGGGCAGTTCACACTTCAACCTCATCTTCCCATCCAGCCATTACTCTCGCTGCTCCTACCGCCTCGAAGCATCTCTCGCTCGACACATCGTCTACTATGCAGGACAAGATCGGTTTCCTCATGCATACATCAGACATTCGGGCTCAAAACGAGACCCTGCAAAGGCCTTCTTCACGCCAACGCAGACAAACAACGCGTAGCCTACCGTCTCCACGAGCCCGTGCAGGTACACTGGGCTCTTTGAAAGCATGGTTGCCATGGCCTCGACCCTCGGATCTCAACCATGATACTCAGCAAGAACTGGCAAGAGCCGAGGACCGACTTCGAAGGATGTTAATGTCGCCACAAAATCTTGGCAAAGGTAAAGCCACTGTCAGTGTTGTTTGATACGTCAAGTCGTCTGGGTGGCCTGCTGTCTAATCAAGTAGCGCTTTTTTTTGTTTAAACAACAAGTAAAATATACCCAGAATATGGAAGTAGCCAGATGAGAGAGACACCAGAAGAGGTGAACCAAGTTGTACACACTGTGGACTCTTCTTTTTGGATACATAGGAAAGGGAGGTACCTGTTATACAAGCGCAACAAGTAACAAAAAAAAGAGAGAGAAGACAAGAACTATACGCAACTCCCTGGAGGAGCACAACCTTTATGACTTACGCCCCCCACCCATTTAACGAATATTACGACTGACGAACCCCATATCGAGCGAGGTTTCGGAACCCCTCCATGACGTTTTTTCCTTTTGTTCTGGGTTTTGGCATAACTATGTCTTTTACAAGTAAAGAATACAAAGAATGTTTACTGTACCTTTCTTAGAATTGACTTGCTTTGATCATGTGCTTCCTTGTTGCGAGTGGGAACCAGAGTAACAATTCAAAGTTCTAATGTGGCAGAGAGCAAAGAAATCCCCAAGTCGATATCGATTCACGAGTACCGCGCGGTTCATCTCACCCGGTAACATTACTCGAAATTTGCACCTAGCAAGAGAGTGTAGATCAAATGTATTCTCCCAAGAAATGATAGCTTGGTACGAAAAAAAAACACTCCAGAATGATAAAATCCGAAAAACCAGGACAGACAATGCATCCAATCATGCAATTCCTAGCCCCCTTCTTCCCCCCCAAAAAAAAGAATACAGAAGAAACAGTGTCAGATGGAAAAAAAAAATGTTAATAAGCCAATTGCCATTCTGACGCCAAAATAATGCAACAAAGCTCTTTCTTCTCTCTCCCTCCCCCAGAAAAGAGCCAGACAGAGCAGAAGAAGAAAGCCGCCTAAGCCTATATCCCAATCCCGATCATCCCATTCATCACCGTCATCATAGCTAACTCCCTCCTCCCTGCTGAATTCTACATTCACACATAAAAACGCCACAAGACAACGACAACATTTCTTCTCAGGAATCTACCGTTCATAGCCAGAATGATCCGTCGGTATCGGCAACGCAGACGCTGGTTTCCAAATCTTGACACGCATGTCGTCGCCTGCCGAGGCAAAGGTAGTGGGATCTTTGGGGTGCCAGGCTACGCTGTTGACGCAGCCGGGGTGGGCATCGAGGGCTTCGATGAGGAGACCGTTAGAGCGCCAGATATATATTCTCGAGTCTGAGCACATAATACTGTTAGCAAGTTGTTCGTTAGGGCAGAAAGTTAGGATTGATAAAACTTACCCTCGCTGCCGCTAACGACAAAGTTCTCATCAGCACCGCCAAAGGCAGATCTGATGATGAATTGTTTCTGAACGTGCGCCTCAAACCGTTGAATGACGTCGCCGGTGTCGATTTCCATAAGCTTGATTTGATCGGGACTCATGCTGACAAGCATGTGGCGCGAGTCCTGACTGATCATCACACTGGTTAGTTTGACGTCGTCGAGCTGGAACTCTGCAATCTTCTCGTAGCTGACAAAGTCAAAGACTACTATTGAGCTCTCGGTGATGATGACAAGGCGCTCGCCGTTTGGTGATACCGCAATGTCGTTTGCGCGGAGTCTTGCGCCGTCGTCGCAAAAGTTGTGCTTGAGGTCGCCGTTGAGATCCCAGATTCCACAGCCCATGCGGTCGTCTTGCGATCCGATGATTACGCGCGTGCCGGAGGGATCCCAAGCTGCTGTTGTGCATGGATAGGTAAAGTCGCTAATGCATTGTATGCATGCACCCGACTAGGTAGGTTAGTTTATGCCAACTACAAAGGTGCATGAATATCGTACCTTGACGTCCCATATCCTCGCAGAGTTTTCTGGTTGAGAGCAGCATGTTACAATCTTGGTATCATCAGGGCTCCACGCGAGATGAGTGACACCTGATTCTCGGTGTTCGTCTAATTGATGTAGCACCCTATATGTGCTCGTCTCGTAGATGATGATTGTGCAATCCTTGCTTGTCGACGCCAGCTTGGTGCCATCGTTCGAGTATTGCAAAAACCAAACCTCGTCCTTGTGATGTCTTAGATCAAGCACGGCCTTTGTGGGGAAATCGTCTCTCTCGCAATTGTGATTCAGGTAGAGCGAGGGTGATGCAGCTGTGTTATGATATAAACAATTTGCGATCCAGCTGTCTTTTACCTCGTCTAATAATACGGCTAACCTGTGTTCTGGAATCATGACGCTGGGTGAGATTGACCCTGTAAAGTGTGAGTAGACAGTCTTGGCACTAATATGCAATCACCACTTACTCGACAGATCTGAAAGAAGATGCATTCGCGACTCGCCGCGAGCACCATCCCACTGAGCTTGGTGTCTCAAATCTTCAGCAGACTGGCACATCATAAAACTAGCAGCTGTCAGCACAAATGCAAATGCGGAAACAGGGGCGGAATTGAAGACTGACGCTGAAAGAGCGTGTAACCTGCCCACATCTTGGTGAAGTGGCGTCAACTCTTGTCGGAGTACTTGAAGCGCTTTTGAAAGGTCTCTTCGCTCCAGCAATTCCAGATACTTTTGCTGCTTCAGCCAAAACAACATAACCTCCCGATTCGCACCCTCAGCAAGCGTCAGACCCGCAGATTGCCGCGAGCCCGTCTTCGACCTCGACTTTTCCCACGGCTTTCCATACGAAGCATCCAAACCAACGCCGCCTCCATTACCATTTCCATTTGAGCCAAACAATAACTCTTCCGCCTCTTCCCAATCGCCGTTCAAGACCGAGCTCCGGAATGCTGCAACCGTGGGGCCTTCGAGCTGAAAGCCGCTCTCTTTACATAATGCGCTTGCTGCACTGTGATATCCCAAATCGGTCAGACTTTGTATGAGTATCCGCGTTACTTCTTCCCTATCATGGCCGAAAAAGGTCGCGGGAACCGACGATCCTCCGTTCGCTACCGGACCTCCATTCGCGTAGGAGCCGTTGCTCTCAGTCCGATTATGGGAGCTGCCATTCGCATGCTTGCCCAGCGGCGACCTGGGTGCCGATGATTGTGACGAACCGTTGGTAAAGTTTCGCGAGGGCGATTGTGATGTCTTTGCGTCGTCGTTGTCAAGGCGCATGGTCCCGTCGAGTCTGCGCCTGCGCTTCGAGGTGTGGCGGGTTAGCCTGCCTCGGTCGGTGCGCGAAAGAGGGTCTTGGTCGCCGTGGTCGTTGTGATCGTCACTGTCGGAGAAGCTGTACCTGCGCTTTCCGGCTGGAGTGCGTTGAGACGGAAGGATGTTGGTGGTGGGACCGGGGAGAGTGGAGGGGGCAGAGATGACTGGGGAAGTAGAAGAAGCGGGGGAGGGCGGAGTGGATGGGCGGTCGGCGGCGATTGGGGAGGGAAGGTCTGGGGAGGTTTCGTCTGCCAGGACGAAGACTGGGCTTGGTTTACCCGCAGATGGCGCGGAGATGGATTCGTGGCAGCCTGTTGCCAGAAGGGGGCTTTGTAATCTGTGGCTATGTAGAGATCATGAATAGAAGGCTCCAAAGTATGGACGGGCAGTGCGCGCAGTGTGTATACTGGCGTGGGCGTGTGACAGAAGAGGGGGGCAAGAGAGAGAGCGATCGGGGTTGCGGAATGAGCTGGGAGGGATGAAGTAGCAGGCGATGTCACGAGCCAAGAGAGATGGATGATGCTGCCGCCAGGGCCTGACTGTTGTTCGTCGATACCAGGCTGAATGAAGCTGTGCTGGAGTATGACACGTCGATATACGGTCGTGAAGAGGATCGTGGCCGCGGTGTGGAATTGTTTTGGTGTTTGGAGAAGCAGGTGGCTGACGTTACGCAGCTGCTGGCTACCTGGGGGTGCAGCGAGCGGTTGCGTCAAGCGTCATGCGCCAAGTGGCAGTCACGACGTGTAAACGGGATGAGCCGACAGAAATTAAGGGCCAAACAGTAAGCGGGCCAGAGTGTCCGGCAATATCAAGTGTACTTATGGATTCAAGTGGAAAAGTACGCGGGCAACTAACAAGGTGCAAGGGCCCTGGACGATATGGGGTGGGTTAGCAGCAGGTCCCTGATGGAGCACCGATAAGAAAGCAGGCTAAGTAAGCACCCGCGTCGTCGAGTATCTTTTAGTACACAACCTCACGCCCAACACCACGTCACATGAGGCCTCATTCGCCGGGACCCACCGAGCAAACCATCACATGCCATGAACCGCTAGACCGCATAATCCAAACTAGTTTCACCCTTTTACTCTGAAAGAAGAATTGCATTACACTACTATTGAACTAGGCGTAGCATTCTACTACTCTACCCCTAGCCCCCTCACATTCTCATCGTCGCATTCCCCTGCGCCCCATGCTCCTCGAACCAATTCAAAAACTGAAACATACTCGCCTTGGGATACCGCTCCAAACTCTCATAATCCACATACTGCAGTCCAAACCTGACCGAGGTGCCCAGCAGCCACTCAAAATTATCGTATATCGACCATCCCCACGCGCCTGTCACATTAACACCATCCACATGGATGGAAAGCAAGATATTGTCTAGGTACTGTTGGTAGTAGTCTGCGCGCTTAAGATCCCACAGTGCGGCATTGATGTTGCTCCATTGCGCTTCAAAGGGCTCTGCGAAGCCGAATTCGCTGACAACAATGTCGGGGATGGAGGGGAAGAGGACTTGAGTGATGTGCTTGAGGTAGCGGCGTACGCCTGCGGGTGCAGAGTAGAACCACGACATGGCTGGGTCGGCTGCAGGTCCAATAGGGAAGCCATTGGGAGCTATGCTTGCAGAGCCAGCACAGTCAGGGAACGAAGGGTGAGAGCGGTTGCTAGTGCAGGCCTCGAGGCCGCCGTTGACTTCAAAAGCTACAAACGACGAGTAAGGGTCGATGGCGTAAAAGTCACATGAGCCCTTGATTAGGTCTTTTTCTTCTTGCGTGAACTCAGGCAAGAGGTCGCCAAGGGTGTCTTTGAGGGATTGCGGGTAGTCGCCGTCAGTCCAGCAACCCCCAAACCAGCCAATGCTAAAGTCAAAGTTGCGTTGCCGGGCCACTTCGTCTTCGGGCTTTGTGCTATTGGCCTCGTAGTAGTTGCCGCTGTTCTTTAACGTGATGCGGCCACGGCCCTTGAATTCCTCGTGGTACCATTTTGCGACCTTGGCGTGGGCAAGCAGCGTGTAGTGGCCACACAAGAAACGGGCCTCGATACCAGGCCCGACGCCATTGGGTGCCGGATAGTATTCCCCGGCTGGATAAGATGCATATTGCCAGTTGCAGTACTGGGGCTCGTTGATAGTGAACCACTCGTCGACGAACTCATCGTAGCGAGTAATGACAAACTTGGCGTAGTTGAAAAAGTCATCTACAACGCGGCGGTCCGTCCATCCGCCGTACTCGTTGAAGATTGCAAGTGGAGTATCCCAGTGGAAGAGTGTCACCGAAGGGTGAAGCCCATTGGCATGCATAGTCGCAATCACATCATCATAATGTGCAACTGCTTCCTCGTTGACAGGCCCATTGCCAAAGGGAAAGAATCTCGGCCACGAGAAACTCGGACTAAACGCCTTGATACCCAACTTTGCAAGTCGAGCAAAGTCCTGCTTGTACAGATAGTAATGCTGAGCAACAACATCACCCGTCGTATTGTCCGCCACAAAGTTTGGCACGCGATGTGAGAGTAGATCCCAGATACTTGGCCCTTTGCCCTCGTCCTTGGCCGCTCCTTCAATCTGATACGCCGAAGAACTCAATCCCCAGACAAAGTTGGCGGGCAACTTCAGACCCTGAGTCTCGGGGTACCCAGTACCGACCAGGGCATGGTAGTAACGCGGGTCTGGCTGTGGATACACAGAAGGCTCGGGCGTCGGTTCAACAGTCGTTGTAACCGTACCCGTGACAACAGGTCCTACTTGATCCCAGAGCGCCGCAAGTGCATTGTGCGAGTAGTCGGTTCGGGTAAAAGGCGTAGGTTGAGCAGAAGCGTTGTAGCTAGAAGTGCTATAACCCGTCGGCTGAGCAAACGAAAGCGAAGAAGACCCATTGGCAGCAACAGCAGCTGCAGCAACAGCAATTGGCCGAGCCAAAAGCATCAACCCAGCAAGATGCACCAACCGATCCATCTTGCCAGAGAAAAACCTCTCAAACAGCAAGATGAAGAAGAGGGAGGGGAGGGGGACTCAGAAACAAACAACAAGACAGGATGGGGAGGCCCTAGTACTTGTACTACAAAAGTAACCTCCCCCGAACTACCCCAACTCCTCATTGTAACCAGCATTTCCGGAGCCCCGCGCCGAATCCTTTCATTCCTTCCTGCATCTTCTCCTCATTGATTCCTGCACCTCACCCCAGTGCGTCTGGGGGGGGGGGGGAGGGCAGGGGGGAAAGAGGAGAGAAGAGGAGGGAAGCTCGGCATGCATAGGAATCCCCCCAACCGCTCCAAGAAAAAAACATTCTTGGTACAATGTACTGTACAAGTCCTAGGCGTTGCCAACAAAAAAACCAACCCCATTGCCCCAATAAGGCACGCAGCCAAGATCCCCCTTCCAAGCCTTGTTGCCGCGGAATACAAAGAAGGTTCGCTGGGGAGGGGAGCAATTGTGGAGTTAGGCAATACACACACACGGGAGAAGGGATGTAGTAGACGTCATGGTTGGAAACTACGTAGGAGGGTTGGCGGAAGAACCGGGGTGAGGTTCCGTTGGCCTGCAGCGGAATGCAGGCATTGCGGAGAGCAGGCTGCGAGTTATTATTGGTGGATACTTACTTACTTACTGTACGTAGCTAAAAGCTTCTCCAACAAGCGAGCAAAACCGCTTCTTTCTGCACAAGAACGCAGCAGCGCGACTTTTCGACTTGGAAAAGATGACGGGTCCAAGACGATGCCGTGCCGGAAAACTTGTGGGGAAAAAGAGGCACGGCATATTGAGCAGGTGTGTCGTTTGCACGTCTAGTCGGTCCGCACGTCCGAAATGATGTTCGGAGTGTGTCGGTGAGTTTTGATAAAAATGCACGACAAGAGTTACAAGAAGTTGCCTAGACGGGATTACATAGCAATTCTCTGATTAGTATCATTCGTATACCCGCAAGGGTGAAAGACAACAGGCAAATGTAGGTCAGACATGGAACCAAGATCCGCCGAGGTACATGGATTGTATGGTATTATGCATATGCAGTAGCACCGGATATTCTATTCGAGTAACTAGGTCCGATTTCTAAACTTTGAATCCAATTTTGGGCGCATCTGGTCGATGGCTCGATATAGTCGTAAAATGCCATTAAGATGGTGCAAGACTCGTTGGGTATATGTCGAGCATCTCGGTAACAGGCAGTCATTAGAGCAGTCATTAAGAGAAAGACTTTAGGCCTTGCGCTGCTTCTTTGCAGGTGGCTCTTGGGCGGACTTCCGTCCCTTTCCTACGAGGGCACGAATGTCAACGGGCTCGTCATCGTCGTCATCATCATCGTCATCATCGTCGCTGTCCATGGCATCGATGTCGGATAGCTCCTCATCATCTTCTTCCTCTTCAAAAGTAGCCTCTGCGACCTGTTAGCATCCAAATCGACATGTGTGAACATGCAACGTACTGTAGTATCTGATGGCATTGGGCCAGATGTCTTCAGCAATGATAGTAGCAACCTCATCACCACCGGGGAAAACCTCAATCTCTTGGTAGTCGAGTGGGTCTTCATCGTCCTCATCCTCGTCGTCGTCGATCCTCTCCCCTCGCCTGACCTTCTCAAACCTCTCTCTCTCTTCCTTTGCAGCTTGTGCTGACTCTTCCGCGCTAACCCATCGGTAGCCGGCAACGAAGGAGAAGAGACCGAAGAAGCTGATTGAAGCATCCGTGGCGGTCTCGATCATCTGAGCAAGCTTCTTGTACTCGGCCGACTTGACCTCCTCTTTCCTTGCTGCTCCGTTGGTAGTATCAGCTGCCAACTTAGCTCTCAACTGGCCAAGCTTGTACGCAGCATCAGTCAGACCGTCGGTAAGGTCCTTGCCCTTCTTCCAGTTGATCTTGACGGGCTCAGAAACCAGACCCTGCCAGTCCCTGGACTTGCGGAACCAAAACTTCTTCTCAAGAACTTTGTCTTCGAAGTATTCGTTTTCCGTGAAGCCAAGCCTGAGCAAGAAGCTGCGGGGTGAGCCATTAGGGTCATCCAGCTCGAAGCGAGAAACTTCAACCGTAGACAAGCACTCTGCGATGAGCTTGGAGTCGGTGGGTTGGATGAAGCTGTCAATCTCGGGAGGCGCTTGCTCGAAGACTAGGGCCCAGAAGTGAGGGATCTTCTCAACAAGCTCGGCGCGCTTCTTGAACAGCGGGGTCTGGATTGCCTCAGCTTTGCGAACTACATGTATGTCAGCATTGCGCCCGTCGCATTGGCAGAAGAAGAAGGAACGAGGTATCGCAAAGAGCGCTATTCTTGAGGAGTTTTTTTCATGCAACTATGCGATCCCTCTCTTCACGTAGGAGGCAGTGCGACTTACTGATTTCTTCCTCAGCATCCTCAAATTCGTGCTCAAGAGCCGCAAGCTCTTCGAAGCGAGCAGAAACTTCTTCGTGCGTATGGTCCTCCATTTTGATATACTCAAAAAAAATACTAGGTTCAGTATCGCAAGTGTAGAATACTGAATGTGAGTTGTGGTTGAGGTTGGATCGTTTAATCTGGAGCATTTCTCACAAAATTTCACAAATTGCTGCAGGGATCTGGAGCTACTTGGACAGGCCCCACATAAAGCGGAGCCATTCCGCCCCGCGTTTTTACGCACACTTACGCCATACCTTTTGCTTGGCAAACTCTCCAGGTAAAGGTATTGTGAAGTTTGAGGCATGTATTTTCTTATGGTAAGACTAGTTGTACAAATACAAGTGAGAGTTCAAGTATGAAATTTACCATGGATTGGTCGTACAGCCAAGAGTGATGGCCATAGTTGGTGACGTATGACTCCTACTTCTCTATATCGCATCTCATTTCGCCTGTGGCAGTATACTTTCTACACACTCACCATAAACATAATCCATCACGCATATCATACAACGCATTTCTACCCACCTTAGAACCCTGTCTCTCCTGTCGCCCTCTCACTATGGGAGGCCTAGCATTCGCAGATACTGTAGCGGAGTCTGGGCAACCAATTATTGTCCCCCGACTACCTCCAGAAGAGTACAAGAAGCTTTCCGCACGTTATCAGCGCGCCCTAGAGACGATATTCGAGAAAGTTGTTATTCCACGCGAAGCACCGGGCAAAGTAGACTACGGCGATATTGATTACTTGGTCGACGGACTCCGATCTCCACACACAGAGAGTAATGTCTGGGACCTGATACGCGATCTTTTCAAGGCTGACGCCCATATACTGCGCGGCGGATCAGCTTCATACGCGGTGCAGCATCCCACAACCATAGGGCTGTATGTCCAAGTAGATGTCGAGTTATGCGTGGGGCATGGAACTTCCAACAGTATTGAGCTCTTTGAATGGACGCGTTTCGTAAAGAGCGATTCTGATTTGCTGCAAATCATTGGGGTGTCGCATCGACCTTTGGGCATTGTCTGCAACGACCAAGGCTTGCATGTGCGAGTACAAGAGATAGAGCCTTACAACAAGAAAAAGGCCTTGCTATTCTTGACACGATCTCCGGAAGAGGCCCTAGAATTCTATGGTCTTGATGTTACCAAGTATCGGGCTGGGTTCACGGACGAGGAGGATCTCTTTGACTGGGCATGTAGCGGGAGGTTCTTCGCTCGTGAGATTTTTCAAAGTCGCACTGAGAAACACAATGATCGAGCACGCCAAACGAAGAGGCCCATGTACCGGCGGTTTGTTGAAGAGTATATGCCCTCACATCCGGACAAGGGCGCTTGCAAGGCTTGGACACGGGATGAGGTGCTTCACGAAGCCATCCGTGTCTTCGGAAAGCAAGCGGGGTATGATGCCATGATGGAAGAGCATAATCTCAAGACGGCAGAAGAGGAGCTCTGGAAGGAGATCAGGGAAGCGGTGCCTGTACAGAGCAACTCTCTTGCTCTTATCCTCCGAGGCTTAAGACGCTGGGTGGCTTTTGAAAACGGACATCCCTTCATCACGACGGAGCCGAATCTCGCGGAACCTCTGGTCTGGTCCAAGTTTGTGTCACCCGACACGAGAGATGTCGTGCTAGCATGGGTGAAGGACAATTATGGCCAAGTCAAATCCCTGGAGAAGGCGCGTGCAAGTGCATCCAAGGAGGCCGCAAAGAATATCCAGTAGTGGATAGCGCCTCTGTAGGCGAGGAGGATGGTAGTGTCCGCTGGGGTCCGTATAATCAATCGCAGTCGCGCACGTTTCTCGCTGCAAGCCTGCGAATTTTGCCGACCTGGTTTTTGTGACGTAAAGGCATATCTGCTAAGCCGATGCTTCCCACGCGATGCGGGCCTGGTTGATAGAGTGGTGGTCCGACGTGGTTCGGAATGCAAATTTTCAATTTCGAAGGGGTAATGGAAAGCAGTTTTGAAGGGGTAATGGAGTCGATTTCGAAGGGGTAATGCAAGCGCCTAACTGTGGGTCGCGGGCGTGGAGTGGGTTTGGTGATCGGTCCGACCAGCAAGGCATGGGGGCTAGATCACAAATATTTTTTTGCCTTTTTGGAAAACCATGTCGTCGACGAGCATTGCCTGCGCTAAGATAACCTGCTATCATGCCAAGACATGACCATGTAATGTTTGCTATCTTGTTCAATCATGTGCGGTACCGGATCCTGCCGAAATTTTATACCATCCTGTCGCGCCAATTGAATTTTGATCATCAGACAAAGGCCATTGTGTTATCGTTTCCCCATATTGCACGCTTCGTGACACATCCGTAGCGTTCCTATCTGCGTCGTCGGCGCACTACTGGGAGAAGGGAAAAAAAGCTCGCCACAGGCCCAGCCACGATGAACGAAATGGACGGCTCGCCTCCAGAGCCCCAACTTCCAGAATCACACGTATTGATTATTATTACAGGTACACGGCATTGCCACTTAACTTGGCCTTCATTTAACATTAACTTGGACAGGCGGTACAATATGCATGCGAAAGTCTGCAGACGGACTGGTCCCTGCCCGAGGGTTTCTAAAAGCTGGACTTGCACCTCGGCCTGTTTTCAATGATGGATCCTACCCAGAGCCTCTCGAAATTGTCGTCGACGACAAGGGTACGCGAAAGGCCGTGCAGAGCTTGAGGACTCCAGTCAGCACGTATGAACGCCGGGTTCGATACTGTGTACTGGAGTTTGAAAAACTGCTTGATAGCAGCTCCATTGACTCGACCGGCTGGGACCAGATTGCGCGTACAGTGCAAAGGAACTACCAACTATTCGATGGCTTCGTCATCTTACATGGGACCGACTCACTGGCCTACACGTCGTCTGCGCTCAGTTTCATGTTCCACAATTTGGGGAAGCCCGTAGTCCTGACTGGGTCCCAAGCACCCATGATGAACCTGCAAACGGACGCCCAGGACAACCTGCTCAACTCGCTCATCATTGCTGGACACTTTATGATTCCCGAAGTGTGTCTCTTCTTCAACTTCAAGTTGTTCCGAGGCAACCGTGCGACCAAGATATCTGCAGAGGACTTTGATGCATTCGGCAGTCCCAACCTGCCACCGCTGGCCACCATTTCCTCGACCAGGACCAATGTACTGTGGCATCGTGTTCATCGCTCCACCGACCTCAGCCCGTTTACCATCCAGACGAACCTGGACACGGCACACGTAGCCTGCCTACGTGTTTTCCCGGGAATTACGCCTGCAATGGTGGATGCAGTCTTGCATCTGGAAGGGCTCAAGGGGCTTGTATTGGAGACGTTTGGAGCAGGAAACACACCTGGTGGGCCGGACAGCGCAATGACGCGGTGCCTGGCCGACGCAGTTAAGAGGGGAATTGTGATTGTCAATGTAACACAGTGTCTGAGCGGCAGCGTTAGCGCGCTGTATGCTCCTGGAGCCTTTCTTGGGCGAGCGGGAGTGGTATTTGGGCAGGATCTGACGTCAGAAGCAGCCCTTACCAAGCTGGCATACCTCCTGTCGCTGCCGGGAGCGACACCCGACGAGGTTGCAAAGCGCATGTCTGTTTCATTGCGTGGCGAGCTTACCGAGACAACACGAACTCATTTCGAGCATCCGTCGAGGAGCGGCGTACTTACCCCTGAGCTCTCCAGTCTCACGGCGCTCGGGTACGCGATCCAAAAGGGCGACTTGCAGGCGACAAGAGATATTATTCGAGGTGAACCTCGCTGGCTGCTCAACGATGCCGACTATCAGATGAATAGCCCAGTGGTAAGTGCATTTCTGTCCAGTCAGCATTCATGTACCTATCTCCCCCCTCTGTCACGGTGTTGCAGCACGTTGCAACCGGCATGGCTCGAGTTAGATTGTGCCTGCACTGGGCAAGAGCCGGTATCGGAAAGAAGATGTGCAATGGCGGCAGCACAGGCAGCAGCGTCCTGAAGAGGGGCGACGCGTCTGTACATGGCGAGTGTCATAGATAAAGGCACAGGAGGCCGTCGGCACAGGAGACAACAAGGCATGATGCACATGGGCTTATCGCTCAGCTGGATTCCGGGCTGCATGCGGCGTAGCAAACGTGTGTGGAAGAATAATGTTCCATACAATGACGCGCAATATTGCGATATGGTGCTGACTATGAACGCAGCACCTGGCGGCAACCAGCCCCAACGTAGAGATTCTGCGAGATTTTCTGGCACAGGGGGCCTCTGTGCATCTTCGAAACCGATCAGGCAATACCCCGCTCTTCCTGGCAGCGGCGGCAGGCCTGGCAGACCACGTTCAGACACTGATCGATGCGGGAGCCCATCTTCACAGCGACGAAGTGAGCGCGGCCAAGCTGTACGCATCGGAGGGCGACGGCAACGCTGAGATTTGGAGCCGCGTGATTGGATGAGGGGTACATGCAACTCACATGGACGAGCACTGGGGGGGCCACAGTTGATTGTGGCTGCTTGCTGGCTGCTGCGGGCCCAGCGAAGGAATTGTTTATTTGATGGCACGTCGTCGGCAGGGTCTGGTGACGCCTAGGGGTGAGGCCGATGCACGTCTGCAACATGGAGAGCGGGTGAGTTGGTTGGACATGGTGGACAATAGGCCGGATGCTACTATGGGCGGGCGCATCCTTTTCGGGGAGGTGAGCAGTGGCAGCGAGTGGGTGGTGATGGTGATGATGATGATGATGATGATGATGATGATGATGATGATGATGATGGATGCGCGCAACAAACGGCGACCAAGGCGTGCTTGCTTAGTTACTTAGTTAGGAGCCATGATGGTCGTGGCGTGGCGAGACTCACGGGCAAGAGGGCGGCGCACTACTCAACGATAATAGACAGGCGGCGCTGGATGTGGGGAAGCCGACTGCAACGAATTTCCGCTTTGGAGATGCGAGGGGCCCTAGCAGGCCAGGGCCGCTAAAGAGGGAGACATCGGGAGCTTGTTTCAGTTAGTAAAAGAAATCTCTGTGCCAAGACCTGACACCGTGATGTCTGGCTGACTGTCCGTCCCTTGCACACGCTCACTCGGACTAATCCCGCCCCCTGGGAGCACGTCTTTACTGTATTCTTATTACTCACTCACCACCCACCACCGCACAAGCCACTACTGCGGGCGGCAGACGCCTCCGAGCAAAGCATCGTCGACGGACATATCTATACATTTCCTGGGTGCACCGGCATGCCCCTTGTTCATGCCGCCTCTTGACTCGCAAGTCCATGTGTACCGTCTATGCAGTTGTCGTATAGTCCTATGTACGATTCCCATGTAGTAGTCGATTTATCCCCCGCATCGATTCGCAGACTGGGTTGCAATCCCTTTGGATATAGTATGTACTATGTAGGTACATTATTTTTGCTAGTACATTCCAAAAGGTGGAGCCTGCTCGTCTATGGATTAGCCTACCAAGCAGGCCTCGCAGAGAGACCATGATAGTGCCTGTGTCTGTGTCTGTGTCTGTGTGTGCATGTGTCTGTGTGTTGGAAAAGGTGAACAAAAAAAAGGGACAATGGCAACATTCTTTGCTTCGGCGTCTGATGTGGCAAGGGATGGCAATATCAACGGCAACGGCAATAGCAGTGGCAACGCAAAGATGAATATCCCATCCCATCCCATCCCCATACCTGGCCCATAGCCTATCCCTCGGCAGTGTGTCGTTGGGGGGAATGGCAGCCAGCGTCCGCCGGCACGTTTCGCTGGCGTGCGGTGCTCAGTCCCTGGCCGCGGTCAGATGGTCGCCATGTTAAGCGGAGCCTATTCGCCCTTGCCGGTGGACTATTAGGTAAGTCTTTTCCCAGCAATGCAAATGACGAGGGCTAAACTTGGCTGCAAGGTCATACGAGAACCGACTCAAATTCGTGCTTCTCCTGCTTCTCCGGCTGCTCCAACAAGTACCGCTCCTCTGCCCCCAACACCGTTGCCTCTGTCTACGTCAAAGGTATTGCGAATCGGCCCGCCATCTAAACCTTAGCACTCGCCCACTAGCCTCGCCTATACCCTGCATTGCCTGCCTCACGTGTCCCTCCCTCGATTGCACTATCAACCGCTCGACCCCTTGTGTCTGTGTGCGCGTGTGTGTGCGCCTTAGGGCCCGTCATAGTCTCCCCGCCGAACCCAACAACGGCTTTTTCCAGGTTACCACGGCCCTTACACAAACCCTTATCTCGTCTCCCTCCACTTTGCGCCCAAGACCAACCACCTGCTTCCCCAAACCCCAGCTGACTGACTATACCCGGGGTTCCTCGCGCCTTGGCCCTGCTTTGCCTTGCCATATAGCATCCAACAAGTACCCTTGTTCCGAAATCGCTCTCCTTCTACCCACCTCAGGACCATCCACTCACTTTCTCTTTCCGGACCCGCCAGAGCCTCACCGCCACAACCCTCTTTTTTCCTACCTTACCCTCACTTCCGCCAAAAAAAAACACACGAATGCAAAGGACAGTCGTTACCATCAACAGCAATGGCCGCCAATCGGCGAGCTTCATTCGCGTCGCTGCCGCACTAGGATGGCAGGTACGGGCCCAGATGCGAGACTTGAATGGCATAGTCGCCCGAGAGCTCTCTGAACTCGACAATGTCACCGTCTTCATCGGGGCCCTCGAAGACAAAAAATTTCTCGATGATCTATTCAGAAGCGCTCAGTGCGCTTTCATCAACACCACGCACTGGGGCGACGAGGTTGCCATTGGTCGAGCACTAGCCGATGCCGCAAAAAAAGCCGGAATCCAGCACTACATCTACTCGAGCATGCCCGACCACTCCGTATTTGGCCAAGGCTGGAAGGCACTACCAATGTGGGCTCCAAAATTCACTGTCGAGCAATATGTCCGCCAGATTGGTCTCCCGGCCACCTTTGTCTATTGCGGCGCATACCACAACAACTTTACCGGCCTCGATTTCCCCCTGTTTCGCATGGAACATCAGTATGACGGCAGCTTTGTCTGGCAAGCCCCGTTTCACCCAGATCAGCCACTCCCCTGGCTAGATTCGGAGCACGACGTTGGTCCAGCTATATTCCAACTATTTAAGGAAGGTCCACGTAAGTGGAACGGCAAGCGGTAAGCGTGTCCTGCATCTGCGTATCTTGGTCCACTTCGTTCGCCCGTTCCCCACAATGGTTCCATCAGGTGGTCTGCCATCACCAGTTGCAAACGTCAAATTTTCCACGGCTTGCGCACCCACTCATGATGCAGCCATGGTTGCATCGAGCTTCCAATATATGCGCCGTTTTTTTTCTCTTGCTTTTTGAACAACATGCTGACTAGCTTAGGATACCACTGGCGTTTGCATCCATGACCCCAAGACAAGTCTGCAAGGCTTTTAGTGTCGGCCTCAAGAGACCAGTTCGCTACAAGCGGGGCCCCATAATGATCAACGTTCCCACACCCGCAGGCTACCGGGAGCATCTCGCTGCACTTGAGTACACCCTAGGCGAGAAGGGCGCACCTTACTTTGGACCCGATCTCGAACCGGACGTCCCCGCTGTCGCCCTGTCGCTGTGGGAAGGAAACCGTTCCATGGAGGAGTACGCCCAAGAGGTTTTCCCAGTAGAAGAAGCGGCCAATGGTCTTACTTGGATGGAAGAGGTAGAGACGCCTAGGAGAGAGATTGAAATCGACTTTGAACAGATCAATTGCTGACGACGGACGTCAATGTTTCAGGGCGAACAATTCCAGCAACCCAGCGTCATTCTGGGTTTGAGCGAGCAGCTCAACCAAGCGAGGCTTTAAATTCCTTCGGTTCGACATGTTCCTTAGTTCCAATGGCGTCGGGCGGTTGCATCTCAAAGGCGTCTGACCTCCCTTTTCCTTTGGAGTACCCCGGTAGAAAAGTGGTGCCAATGTGGCCACTGGATGCCTAACACGGAAGTACCGATACCCACTTGAAGTTATCTGGCCATCTTGTAACCACACCTGCCTTTTTGTTGGAGCATTGGTGTTTGGGCTTCCTTTTTCAGCATGGGCGGAGTGTACTGCGTTTTTTCCTCAAACGGCGGTGATTTGCATTCCAACAAAAGTTATCCTTTCTTTTTCTAATTCGTATGCCACGAGACGACTGTTCATGAGCATGTTTGCGTAGGGGGGTGCATTTTTAGGTCGGGTTTACAGACCGGAGCTGTAGTCAGCATATGGAAATAGATATTCATAATACGATCCACTCCACGAGAAAATATAGAGGTATATTCAAGAAATGATCCTTGGAAAAAGCAGTGATAGTGAGACGTGTGCCGATACAAGCTGTGTAACTTGCCAAGCATAATGCGGAGTAGTTACATAGATCTGTGCTGACATAAGCAATCTCGAATTTCTTGACGCTGAACCCCAATGTTACATGATATCCGACTCCACACGCCAATGTCAGCCGCAATCCCCTGCACGCGGGCCACCGCCCAACGTGTCGCCTTTCGCGCCATACGATGCAAACGGTATGCAAGCACCGAGACGGTCGTAGTCGACGCCGCTCTCACAACAGCGCCTCCTCCGCCTGCCAAGCGTGAACAGCGATTACCACGAGAGGATCTCAGCCAGCGCCTGCACAGGGCATTGTACCCAGAATACTATGGCGAGAACGGCCAGCCCATCAATGGGGCATTGAAAACACACACAAGGCGGAAACAACCGTCCAAACCCATAAGTGCAAAGTGGGAAGCCGTAATGAAGCAAAAGAACGTAAACCACGCATTGAGTACGCCTCCGCACACCTTTGATAACAAACTCCAATTGCTAACCCCGCCACCCCCTCAGGCCACCAATTCGGCGTCCCAGTCTTTAAGCAATCTGCCCGCAACATCAAGAAAACCTGCCCTCACCCCATTGCCGCCGTCACAGCCACCCAAATCAGCACCCTCGACCCCACCGGCGCCCGCACCCGCCTCTTCGCAAAAGACAACCCAGAATGCGCCCGCGTCGGCGATATTCTGCTCGTCCGCCAACGCTCCGGCGACCCCTTCGCCGGCGTCTGCATCAACATCCGGCGCCGCGGCGCCGACACCGCTATCCTCCTCCGCGGCCAGCTCACGCGTGTGGGTGTGGAGATGTGGTACAAGATTTACAGTCCGCTGGTTGAAGGCATAGAAGTTGTACAACGTGCGGCTAAGCGCGCCAGACGAGCCAGACTCACGTATATGCGCACGGTTAAGCATGATCGCGGTAGTGTGGAAAACGTGGTTAGGATGTATCTGAGGCAGAAGGCCGCGCTGGGGACGGCCGAGGGGCAGAAGAAGAAGGGGGGTGCGGCGGCCATGGCGGGGGGGAAGAAGAAGGTTGGCAGGGGGAAGAAGAGGTAGGCTGGGATCCTTTGAATCGTGTGGCGGATTTTGTACGGATGTGTACAGTATTGTATCATGAAATCAAGGGCTTGTGCCATGCAAGAAATATGACTGTGAACTGTGTGTTACGCTATGTCAAATGTGTTCAAGTGATTTGAGTGAGATGCTCTGTTCGTACTTTTACCCCCGTTTTTTTTCTGCTTCTTCGAAGATGTTATCTTGACATTTGAGTATTTTATCCGTGTCTTCATATTTACCTCCCTTTCGTTTTCACTCTTCTTTCCCTGCCTTCCTCTCTCTCTGACACTGAGAGTTTTTTTCGTGGCTTTATTTGCGTACTCGATGAAGTAAGAAAATGTAGGGGTTTCGGCGCTGTCGGTTGTTTGTACAGTACTTGGGTTTGGTGCTGGTGATTGTGGGGGTGTGAGTTGCAGATGTATGAAGTTTAGCTGGATGATTTGTACGTGTATTCTTTGTGGGATATGGGGAAGTTGGAAATGTTTATTTCGCTTTTGTTTTGTTTTGCATTGTCATGTTTGTGGTGGTTTGGCTGGTTGATGTTATGTTGTGGGCGTTTTGGGTAGAAAGGTGTATGTTAGGTTTTAAGGGGGGGTTAAGTATCATTCATTTTGTAATTCTCTGTATTTGGAAAAGGGGGGGTTTGAAGTAGAGTGGGAGTCAGTTGGGAGAGCAATAAGATGAGAGAGTGATTCAGATGTTTTAAGTATTGTAGTAAAAGAAGATGTAGAAGAAAAAAAAACATTACGCCAACCCCCTTGATCGCTAATTACAAGAACTTAAGCCAAACTTCACACACTCAGCTTCTCAAGCCTCCCAATCATCCCATCTAGCTGACATACCACATCGTTGTATACTGCAGATTGCAGGCCCTTGTTGCTGAGCTATTTTCCGAACCCAAAGGTACATTCAAGACATTTTTGTGCGATTCGCTGATACTCTGGACCCAATGGGGCTCCTCGATCTAGAACAAGTCTACGAGCAGCGAAAACTGGATTGTTCTCATCCTTGTCCGTCATCTTTTCTTCAATCGGCATCCAGTAGGCAATCTCAAGCATTGCAACACCGAGGGAGAAGAGCGTCGTATTGTTAATACCATAACGCGTTTGTTCTGATATCGTTCCAGTGTTTTGCTGTAGACCCTCCATTTGACCATCTGCTATGGTAGCGGGCCGCGATATCTGTGAGTTGAAGTGTAAAGTCTTAAGAGCTTCGACGCTGAACGAAGATCTTGATCCAAGATAGCTGAGATCACCTAGGCGCCATCGCTCAGGGAGCCAGGGGGTGTCGTTGTACTGTAAAGTTGCAACGGCCAGTTTATGTGCTAGTTTCAAGCGATCCTCTGGTTGTAAAGCATCGTACACCTCCTGTCTAAGCGCGTCCTGGATTGAAGATATGGTAGAAGTTGTCGAGTTATTCATTTGTGGCTTCGCTGTTCTCTCCTTGAGGTAGAAAAGATGCTTGTACATCTGCGCGCTCTCCAAGTAGCCAATACATTCCTTTGCCGACTTTAGCAGTTGTGCCTCATAACACTCTCGCAGGTAGTCACAAATACTCTTCATCTTGCAGAGATCAACTCCAAACGTGAATATCGTACCAGGGACATCTGCGTTGGGTACTTTTGTTGGAAGTGGTGGTGTAGATACTTGAAATTGTACACGCTTAGCCTTTTTCTTTGGAGCCGAGTCTTTCGAAAGATCACAAGATGCCTTCTTCTTCAAACTCTTGGAAGAACTCGAGACGATAGGATTTAGTAGTTCTAGAGCCAATTCGGAGCACATATCAAGACTCTTGGATCTTGGGTGTGTTTGGTAGTGTGTCTGCGTATGTACTTGTCGATTGTACGAATAGCCAGATTGTAGATTCTGGTAGTGAGCTGAGGGCGATCAGCGCATACCAACAAGGTCCATGCGTAGGCTTACCTAGAACGATCTACACAGCTGGATTCGCGACAAGATATAGCAAGGTCCAAGGTTACATCATGTTTTACATCGGCATCGAGACATAGTTTAGCGTCATGTCCGCAGTGCGTGGGCTGATCGCAACGCCAAACTCCACAAGGAGACTCGTGAAGCTTTCGAGAAACAGTTTGAATAATCTTGAATCGACCAGGCAATGGGACATGTTGGATACAGACACCTGAAGGAACTTCTTGTTGCTCAATAGCAACAACTTGCGACCGAAGTGAAATTAGCTCACTGTTCCGATCTCGTAGGCTGGCAAGACATTTTTCGTATCTCGATTTGTTAAAAGTAAATTCCAGCGTTTTGCTGAAACGTTTGTAAACTTTCTTGAGAGACTCAGTCTACGACAAGGTTAGCGCGTGATCCTAGTATGCCTGAAATCAAGACGAACCGGTGACTTCTGGCTCAAAAAGGGATCAAGATTTTCTAGTTCTGATGCCATCTCCTCAAGAATTTGACTGATGTATTGAATGATATCCTCGCAAACGTCGTAGTTGTCTTGAATTACTGCCTTCAATTGGTCTTCGGTCTCTTTGTTTACCCACCTTTGGTTACTGTAGTCTTCAAGATCAAGCCTTGTTTGCTTTTTTTCTGAATCGAACCTAGTAATAACCGTACTTCGTTTAGGAAAACTACCCTTATGGCTTTGAATTCCATAAAAATATCCCCAAGCTCCAGAGTGCAGCGGCGGAATGTGCGTATCTTGTCACATATTGTTGAGTAGGACTTGATGACTTCCAAAAGGATAGGCAAAACGCCAACTGCTAGGCCAGCTATTTCCAAACCAGACATCTTCCTGTAGATTTGAAAAGAAGGAAAAGAGAAGTATGGAACAATAATGTGGCAGGCTGATCGCGGCTGAATAGACGTCTCGCGAAAGCACCTCATCATGCACAGCCCCGCCCACCACACAGCCCCGCTTCAGCCTGATGTGCTGTTGATAAACAGCAAAACAAACTCTCTGAATCTCTCAGTCCACCTAGTTCTGCGTGTGAAACCCCTGAAGCCGAGATTCCATAACTCGGATCATTCTTTTCACCTCCGGGCCTGACAGTTACGAGCGATACTTGACCAATGGCTTCAATCGCCTTGAGCTCACGTACAAGTAGGGAAAAGATTGAGAGGTGGCAACAGGAGATATCTCCAAAGCCAGAGGGAGACCATGGAATGATAGCCCGCATGCTTGAAACATGCCTCGGGTTGCTTCGAAACTTGATACAACATTCCAGTCCTAAATGGATCACAACACCTGGGAACCGCACGCTTCGGCAAGGCTACGCTACGTTACAACTCTGGGAGCATGGCCATGGAGTAGCTGGAGGAAGACTTGATGATCACCTCAAGCGATCAACGGAAGTTCGACAAGCAACCATCGAGATCCTGATCCATTTGTGCAGACATCTATTAGACGGTGAGTTAAATACCTACTTATGCGACAGGAAGTACTGATTAGAATAGGAATTTCGAATTTCGTCTTACCGCAGGTGAACGATGCCTCAGTCCGACGTCAGCACACAGCAGCCTCAGAGTTCTATAGTGAATGGAAATGGTACTTGAAAGCTGCCGACGAGAACTCAAGCGAGGATGAAAGCGACAGTGGCGACGATCACGAAGAAGAAGATAGCTTGCCAAGACGAGCAGATATGATGATTCGCAGAACGAAGACATATGTAAATTGCTTGATGGGTCTTGGTACTGCCTTGGAATGCCCAGCTCCGGATGAATTCCACGACGATGAGCCTGGCGTGGTAGGGGTGGGCCCACGTTTTGCGCACGACTATCACACTGATCTGATACAAGCGAAGTACCCAAAAGCTGAAGTACATTTAGTGCAGGTTTTGGGCAAAATCAGCTGGTCACGTTTCTTACGTATGCAACGTGAGCGCGACAACAATACCGCTGCGATGCCTGAGCTACATGGCTTGCTAGCACCCCTTGCTACCAAATCCACTGGCCTTAGTTCTGAATTTCAGGATTCAGGAATTGGCACTTCTCTCGCAAAACCACAGTCATCGTATGCGGAGTCGACTGTATCGTTCATGACAAGCGTATCGGGTGGCGAGCGAGTCCGCATCCCACCGCTGCAAGCAGAAGGGAAAAATGGTCAACCCTTTGAGTGTATCGCGTGCGCAAAACTCGTACGGGCAGAGAACAATCGCGAATGGAGGTATGTCAAACTTCACCGTCCATCAAGCTTGTACTCATTTTGAACAGGAAGCACCTCTTTAGCGATTTGCAACCATATAACTGCTTCTATCGTGAATGCCATTTCAACGCAATCGCATTTACGAACCTTCAAGCTTGGAAGAATCATCTAGAATTCGAGCACAATTTTGGACCTGCATGGGAAGCAATTGAATGTCCACTCTGTTTGAATCTTACAGCAGATGGAAAGAACGCCATCTTAACGCATTTTGCGAGACATATGGAAGATGTTGCTCTTTTGGCTCTACCACCAGCTGTAGAACCAGATGCTGAGTCAGACACAAGCAGAGATACACACTTTGATATCAACGAAGTGGTTCCAACACCCCCAAGGGAGTCGGAACCAGCTCGATCGCCAAGCAACCCGCCCTCATCTCCGCATTTAAATGCGCAACCACGACCACAATCAGATGTTCTACCACTAAATTGGGAGTCAGGAGATTTGCCGAATCTACAGAAGATCAGTGGTCTCTTAGATATGGATATCCGCGATTTTCAACAAGACCAGTCCGGATGGGAATCAGATGAATTGCCTGTTAAACAAAAGATCAGGGAACTTCTGGACAAAAAACCCGATGAGCTTGAACAGAAATCTGCAGTTAAAATATCAGAAGAATGGCAGCATCTTCGGCGGTATGTGGAACGTATTGAAAAGCTCTCGAGCAAAAAGGTACGCGAGATACGCGAGCGTCTGGCAAAGGCTTCAGACTGTGAAGCAGAAAAGTCGCGAAATCAACAGAAATTCAGAGAGCTCTGGGACAAGAAGGGACTCAATGATAGCCAAGAACCGCCGGGCCGTGCTGACTATGTTCGATATCCCATTAAACGAGCCAAGCGGACGTTCGAGGGTGACACTACCATAATGAGCGGCTATCTTCAACTTGAGTCTTTCGCAGGAGGCATATATCTCGTGGTTGTGGGTCAAAATGAGCCTCATAACCAGTTACTAAGAGAGCAGCTAAGCAAGGGCATTGAATGCCGAAGGGCTGGGGAAGCAACACTTCTCTGTACCCAAAAGAATGGAACGGGTCTGTTACTCGATTTCCAAGATCCCAACGACTGTCAATCCGTTTGGATACATATCAAAGAGGCAATAGACGACCCTATACATGCATATCGAATAGATAGTACTGAAGAACCACGCGAGCTGGCTTCTCTGCCGCATACGAACCTTACGACTCCACCAGAACATGCAACAAACTTGTCAAGTATCGCCGGTGGCAATACATTGATACCCTAAATGCCCCCGGCGCCGATCCTGCCCCCGTACCGGCCCTATTCATGGAAGTTTAGCTCAAATCTCAAATCCCAAATCACGATCCCTGGATCCAGATGTACAAGATAAATCATCACCACTTATCAAAGGGTCGTATAGAACATCAATCCGCAGTTCTCATCTCCGCGCGAAGCAACCTCAGGTGGAGGTCTTTTCATCAAACAAACCTTTTAGCACGCGTCACGACCTCGAGACATTCAAGAACGAAGTTTACAATACAAGGGGAAGTGGTTCTAAAATTACAGAGAAGCAAGCAAACGAAGCTGAGATAGCAGCATATCATGAGCCCAGACTTGGCGCCAAGAATGACTCAATATCGCTCGAAGAGATCCCTGAGATATCATCTAGTCAATCAAAGGGAAAAAGTCACACTGAATCTGAAATCGGTAGTGGGAGTGGAATACAGCAGCTCTGGACAAACATGTCTACAGAAAGAGATGTGGTTTGGTTTTGTTCAGATTGCAGACAAGGCTCACATGGCGGATGGCAAAACGTTTGTGTCATGCGCGGTCACCAAAGGTGTCCTGCATGTGTGGAAGAGAAAATAACATTGGGAGCCACCTGAGCTCTCTGTGCGCAAGTTTTCATGTTCCTGATCATGATAGATGGGAGTTATTCTAAATTCAGAATTTCAGTGGCTTATTTGTATGCATTATCAAAGAACGTAAATGTAATGTCTTCGCGCAGCATGATCGACAACCCTCGCTGCTATTGCAACTTCATAGATTTTAATTTGTGTATAAATGTACCGCATCTTACTAAAAGATTAATCTTTAAAGAGTCCGCGGTACTGATGACATGATAGGAGTTAGTGAAATGCGTTAGTTAACATAAAGATTTATAAAGCTATGCTTGCCAAGTCATGTGACAAAAACATGCACTGATCCAGGAATGGTTCGAGAAACGTTCAAGGTTGAATCAAAACTAATTTTCGCTTAGATCGGCAAATATAAATTCCCCTTATGTGAAATGCCAATGGTTTCAATGGAGCATATATTCAGAACTTTAAAATGGTAACATTCTGGCCGCTAACCTCATAAGCCAAATATGCAGAGAATGCATGGAGCTCATGAGTGAAAAGTGATCAGGGAGTAGAGAAGACCCATTCGGCAAGGTATCTCTGTAGATATTGACACGTTACTTAGTAACATTTTGTGATCGAATTCAATCAGTCCAACAAAACAAACCGCTCAAGTACTTATGGTCATTACTACTTAATAATCTTCACTCATAGACTCTCAAACCTCCCCGAAACATTCCTCGAGCTCCCCTACTGCCTATCCTCCAACCACTTCCCCTCCGCGAGACTATCCTCAAATCCCTTCATATCTTTCTCAGCAAGACTGACCAAAACCTCATACGCCGCTGGTTCCCTCCCCTCTATATCCCTCTTCCTAGGCAACACGACGATACCTCCCTCGCTCACCCACGCCGCACGCCGAATAGCAGCGGGCTGGGCATCTGAAGTGCCAGGAATACACCACTCGCGATCGGCGCCCATGTGCTGCCAGCTGGTAATATAGAGATCAGGTCCATTACCGAATTTGAGACAGGATTGGTCGGTTTGGGTGGGGTCCGCGAGGATCTGATTAAATTTCCTGCCAATCCATTTTTCGTCGACGCTGTGGACAGCGTCGTCGACATCTTTAATGAAAGAGGCGAGGTTCTGGATGTTGATTTGGAGGCGGGCGACGCTTATAGTTGGGAGGAGCATGGCGTGCTCTATGTCCTCTTCGAAGTCGGTTTCTACCGACATGTTTTGACATGTGATGCTATTGCCGCTTTGGAAAAGATCCCATGTGGGCATCTTGGAGGCTACTAGGTTTCCTAAGTAGTCAGAGGATGAGAAGGGCCCAGGGAGGTGTTTTCGGAGGTCGATGATGACTGCTAAGGTCGATTTCGTGTTGCCGACCGCGATGAATCCTGGGAGGCGGGCTTGGATGATGTTGGCCCAGACGAGTCCTGCTAGAGAAGCGAAGTGAGATATGTGTTTCTCTGTGTGCTGAGACATGGCTTTGCTGAGGTGAGTGATGACTGAACTTGGGAAGCGAAACATCTTTGTGATGACTTTGTATGGTAGCTCGTGGATGGGATTTGCTGAACGTTGCAGTACCCTTTCAGCCTGTGGATTAGTAGCCTCAACGTTCAACCGTCGTGCAAGGGTAGCGAGATCACCCCTAGCAAGATTGACATCTGTGATATTGTCCGTTGTGATTAGCATTGAGCTGGTCTTACTAGGTTTCGTCTCTTGAGTGTACATATTCAAAGATTTCACAGCCGCGCTCCATACCTCTAGGATCCTCGCGTTGCCAGCCCCATCAGTGATAGCGTGGTGAAACCAAACACTCAGGACTAAGCCTCCAGGTATAAATGTTGCGTGGGCAGCAGAAGCAGGGAGTGGACCCCTCTTCAGACTATTCATTCGTTCTGCATATGGGTCATCATCGTCCAGCCCAGGATGGTTTTTAATCAAAGCAGGACAAAAGACCTCTGCAGGAAGGTTCTCTGCTGAGAAATACGTCCTCTCTAGCGTGTTGTAGTGATAATCGGTGTTGATAGCCTCATCTAAGTTTACAGTGAAAACACGGGCCGCTTCTGCTTCTAGATCGATAGGATCGGGAAAGAGTACCTGAAGACAATCACTGGCGATGAACGGCATGTTGATTGTTCCAGCAAGGCAAGGGAGTCGCCTCAATACCTCTTTGAAGCCTATGCGGAGTGAATCGATGGCTTCACCTGCGTGTTTTGTGTCAGGGAAAGGGAATACGATATAGTAGCGGCCATATATGCGAATGTGTGATTGTCGGTCGAGGAAGGACAAATTCAGATTTTTCTCGTTTTCTGACATTCTTGTAGCTGGATTTCAATGTCCGGAGTAATTGCTACTTCTTTTATCGGTCCTAGACCGTATCCGGGTAGGTTCAGGGGACGTCTACAGTATGTGTAGTCAATAAATGGGTGAATGCTCTGTTGCTAACAATACTGAGGTAGGAAGATTATATCTATACATTCTTGTCCTTTATGTCATGAAACAAAGCTGAGCGATCGTAACGAACTTAGCTTGTCGCGTTTGTCGCTGTTGACTAACATCGAAACCTTGCAAACAATGTGGTTGTCACTGAAATATACAACACCGCGTTTCCCCGGTGAAAGTGAGCTCTTGATTCAAACTTTTAGTTGACGGGCATCCCCGATTAATCGACAAGCTCTTTCATGTTTCAGATGAGCGACTTCAAAGCACTGGGCTTCGTGTAAGAGTCCACAGTAAAGACTCAGTTTCCGATACGCTCGAGTGCAATCATGTCTGCTTGATCGATGTCTTTGCCCAACACACCAGCTTTCTGCAAGATGCCAACAGTCTTTTCGACGACTCCCTTATCGACGCCCTTTACCTGCTGTGAGAACTTTACAGTCTTCAGCCATTCCCTAGCGTCTTCTTCTGAGTAGTCGAGCTTCGTGATGATAAATTTAACAGCCTCTTCCGTATTTTCCTCAAAGTGCTTGACGCCTTTGTTCAACTTTTCCAGCGCATCCTCCAGCTCTGGCTTGAGTGAGGGCTTGCCGCTGCTCTTTGGTGCGAGCAGATGGTTTGCGGCAACAATCTTCCACGACGACCAGGGAGTGTAGATCTCGCCAATGCGTTTGATCTCCCCGTTATCGTAATAGCGCTTCGAGGTGAAGTGCTCCCACATAAAGAAGTCTGCTGTGCCGCTATTGACGGCATCGCGCAAATTTTTGAACGTGTTGAGTATCTCCACAGGAAACGGAGGGCTATCGGAGGATGTATTCAGCCAGCCCTGCTGGTCTGCCAGCACGAAGCTCATCACATAGCTCCCACTGCCAATCCTCGAAACGCCCACCTTCTTGTCTTTCAAGTCTTGAATACCCTTCAGCTCATCCCTCTTCGCCCCAGTTGAGATGGCCCAGCATAGTGGCGTTTCGACATATGTGCCGACTATTTTGAAGCCTGCGTCTTGCTTGGCAGTTTGTGCTTTGCCTAGCGCTGAGATCCAGCCTTCCGTCAGGCCTACTGCAAGATCAATTTCGCCAGCCTGGATGGCAGTGACCATGTGACCGGTGCCAGAAGGAAAGGGAATGAGATCCACATCGAGGCCATAGTGCCTCTTTGCAAACTCTAGTGGGGTGCAAAAGTGCTCTGAGTAGTTAGTAATAAAGCCTTCCATCTCTTCATTGAAGCCTACCGGGCACAAAGCCAGCTCGTAGTGGTGCCATGGTTGTCGCTTTGATGGAGAACCTGCGGAGGGGTTGAGCTCTCGATGCGGCGGGGAACCGTGCGAGGGACAAAGTGCGAAGCATTGCTCTAAACCTCAAGTACGTATCTTGTCAACTGGGATGTTGACTAAATGCCGCGACTTAAGTAACCCAAGCTAAGCCTGAGCATAAGTCCAGGGTTGAGAGGGGTAGTGCCAACCATCAGGGTCAGCCCATTTGTGTGCCATCGCGGTGATCAGCTCCAGCAGATCGTTCCGACATCGTTCCGACTAGCGCCGAAACCTTCCTCTATTCGTCACTACCATCACATCGACGCCTGGTCTTGATTACGACGGCGTTCCTACGCATGCTTACTTGGGTGTTGCGGGGATACCCTGTACACCAGCCCAGTGCCCGCCGTTCTATTGGCCCCTCTCTGCAGCACTTTGTGCGATATTTCCACGGCTCAGAACCCAAGCCCAACACCATGGCTTCTGATGGAGATAGGATATCGATTAGAGCAAGGACAGTAGCGGTAGTAGGTGCCGGGCCTTCAGGTGTGATAGCAGCAAAGTACCTGAGAGCCGAGAAGTCATTTGAGAAGGTTGTCTTGTTCGAACAGAGAAATCGACCTGGGGGGATATGGATCTATACTGGCGAGCAGCGAGACGAAAACCTCTTCGATATACCCCAGACCAACCCGAACAAAGACTTTCAGAACCCGGAGTGGCAGCCTAAAGAGAATGTTGCCAATGGGGATGTTGATACAAATGGCACCGACACAGCATTTCAGATTCCCTCTTTCTTATCACCAATATACGAGAAACTCGAAACCAACATCCCACGTGGACTAATGGGTTTCCAAGACCTCGACTGGCCATCCGACAGCCAACTCTTCCCCACACACGAAGCAGTCCTAAAGTACATAGAAGACTACTCCGCCGACGTCCAAAATCTCGTCCAATACTGCACTCAAGTCACCGATGTCGTACCTGTAGATGCCAACAACCCCACCAGCTCATGGACCGTCACAACCAAAAATCTCCAAACCAACGAGTCCACCTTCGAAATCTACGACGCAGTAATAGTAGCAAACGGCCACTTCATCGTCCCATCCATCCCATCCATGCCAGGGATCCAAGACTGGGCAGCCCAACACCCAGGTCGAATCACGCACTCAAAATACTACCGCCGCGCCTCAGACTTTACCTCCAAGAAAGTAATCGTAATCGGCAACTCCGCCTCCGGCGCAGACATAAGCGCCCAAATCGCCTCTACCTGCTCCCTCCCCCTCCTCTGGTCCACCCGCTCCCAATCCCTCTTCAGCGCAACCCACGGCGCCGCCTCAGCTGACCAGCGACGCCGCGAGGTACCCCCTATAGCCCGTTTCCTACCGTCAACACGCGGCGTAGAATTCGCAGACGGAACACAAGCCCACGACATCGACGCCATTGTCTTCGCCACAGGATATTTCTACAGCCTACCATTTCTGGAATCAGTCGAACCTAAATTAATTACAACGGGGGAAAAAGTAAACCATACATTCCAGCACTTATTCTACGCACCGAGACCAAGCTTGTCGTTCCTAGCGCTGAATCAGCGTGTAATCCCTTTTCCCATTGCAGAAGCCCAGGCTGCGGTGCTGGCGCGTGTGTATGCGGGTCGTCTCGATTTACCTCCCCTCGCGACGATGCGTGCCTGGGAACAAAGTATGGAAGAAGAGATGGGTTCAGGTCGAAATTTCCATCTACTGAATTTCCCGAAGGACGGGAAGTATATCAATGAGATGAGTGCTTGGGCGGCTCAGGCGGTGGAGAAAGAAGGGTTGGAAGATGGCGGGAAAGGAAAGAAGCCCCCGGTTTGGAGAGAGTGGCAATTCTGGTGCCGTGAGCATTTTCCGAAGATTAGACAGGCGTTTGGGGCCAGGGGCGAGGAGAGGAAAGAGGTTAGGACGTTGGAGGAGTTGGGGTTTGTGTTTGGAGAGGATAGAGTGGAGGGCGAGAAATAGACATAAATAGATGGGTTAGATAGCACAAACGGTATAGAGTGTTGGGAAATATGATATGCATAAGTGAGCAGGAAATTGCTCTATTGATCCCAGGTTTTTTCGTAATATACTCACGTACCAAACCAATCCCGTATACACAAAACATCTATCAACACGAGCACCCATGTGATGAATAGTAGACTCCCCACCCCCCAACGCCGTGGCTATGCATCCAAATTCAAAAATCCATACCATCTGGATAAAACAAAAGTGGGGGGTTTACTATCTCCTTCCCTTGCCTTGACCGGCACCACCCGCACCGCCGCCCATTCCAGGCATACCACCCATGCCGCCCATCATTTTCATCATAGCACCCATGTCCATGCCGCCCATACCTCCGAGAGCCGAAAGATCCGGCATGCCTCCTCCGCCTCCTCGTCCGCCGCCGAGCATCTTCATCATAGCTCCGAGATCCGGCATACCGCCTCCCGCTCCGCCCATACCCCCTGCGCCACCCATACTCTGCATGCGCTTCTGCATGGCGGCGAGTTGTTGCTGCTTATTTCCACCGCCCATGGCACCCTGTGCCTTTTGCATGTTGGCCATGCCGCCCTTCATCTTCTTTGCCATGCCTGCCATCATACGGTGCTGGGTGAGCAGTTCCTCAACTTCGCGTACTGACGTGCCTGAGCCACGGGCTATACGGGTCATGCGAGTAGGCTGGTCCACAAACATCTTGCCGTCGGATTCGAGTTCCTTTTCTGTCATGCTGTCGCAGATGTAGATCATACGTTTAAGCTTGGCGCCACCCTCTTCGTCGTCCATGCCTCCCATCATGCTGCTTAGTCCAGGAATCATGCCAGCCATCTTGGAGAGAGGACCCATCTTCATGATGTTGGAGAGCTGGTCGCGGAGATCCTTAATGGTGAAGATTCCTTGAGTAATGTGCTTCATTGTGTCCTTTTGATCGAGCTTCAGTGATTGGACGTGCTCGACAAGACCTTGTACGTCGCCCATTCCTAGCAGTTTGGAAACAAAGGCTTGTGGGGCAAAGCGTTCGAGATCCAACATGTGTTCACCATTACCGAGGAAGACAATGGGAGTATGTGTTGCTGCGACTGCAGAGATGGCACCACCACCTGCTGCCGCACCGTCGGTCTTGGTGATAACAATGGCTCCGAAGTCTGCTGCCTCCTTGAAAGCGCGAGCTTGAGATTCAGCAGCCTGACCAATGGTTCCGTCCAGTACCATGATCGTCTGGTCGGGCGTAACAGCGGTCTGAATTTGCACCATCTCATCGAACAGGTCCTTCTCTTGCCTGTGCCTTCCAGAGGTATCCACGATGATGATTTCAAAGCGCTCTTTCTTGAACTTCTCTACACCTTCAGCCGCCACTACTACGGGGTCCGTCTGGGTGTGGCTACCATAGTATGGGATCTTTGCTTTTGTGGCGTTTTGCTTCAACTGATCGAATGCACCGGCACGGAATGTATCTGCGCAGACCAGACATGCCTTGAAGCCTCTTGCCTGGTACCATCTCGCCAGCTTTGTACATGTTGTAGTTTTACCCGCACCCTGGAGACCAACAAACATAATGACGTTTGACTTTCCCTTTCTCGGCTTAAAAGGTTCGGCATGCGGATCAACCATCTTGACGAGCTCATCGAAGACGGCCTTTTGAATGAGGCGCTTCTTGTTGACACCGGGCGCAAGGTGTTTGAAGTCGACGGCGCGCTTTATCGACTGTCGCAGGTTCATGACGAGTTTGACATTGACATCGGCTTCGACGAGGGCGTTAGAGATCTCCTTGACCATGGAATCGAAAGCCTTCCGCATATTAGCCACCTGTTAGGTATTGCTGTTTTGTCAAGTGCGCACCTTCTCATCGAGATTGGGCGACCTCGTGAGGTCTGTGACGGCGGCATTGATACGCCGCCCAAGATCTTGAAGCACCATAGCGGCGGTTGTGTAGGGAAATTATTAGAGAGATGGGGGTGTGAGGCGTGGGGGGTGGTCGGTGATGTTCTCGTGGTGTTCTGTGGGGAATGCAGGCATGGCGGGGCGCGCTTTGCCCTGCCGTCGGCCTTTTGGCGTCCCTAACGCCGATCATCTGGAACTTTTTTCTGCGACCGCGCAGTGCCTTTCGACATCCACATCTACACAACCACAGCCACAATGGTCAACACATCTTTGAAGCGGAGACGGACCGAGGACCAGCTCAGAGGAAAGGTACCCAAGAAGGAGAAGAGAAAGGTCAAGAAGCAAAAGCACTACCACAGTTCGTCCGACGAAGAAGAAGGTGCTGCGCGCGATGCCCCAGCACGAGGAAGCAGCCAAGAGCCAGACGAGCCATTCCAGCCCTCGGGCGCCAATGCAACTCTTCCAGGAAAACCAGAACTGTCCAAGCAGCAGTTGAGGAAGCAAGCAAAGTTTGAGGCGAAGAAGGCAGCGCAACAAGCAGCTGCGGCCGAGGAATCTTCAGCCAGCGACGATGAGGACGAAGCAGAGGATGCCGCGCCAATGAAGAAGCCTGAGCCCAAGTTTAAAGCCAGCATACAAGCAAAGGCTCCGGTAAAGTCTGCGCTGAAGAAGACGGCTCCCGTCGATCACGCAGCCCCATTGCCAAGCGACATCGAAGATGACGACGAAGACGACTCTGAACCTGAAGCCGACGAGTTTTCCATTGCCGACTCAGAATCCGACGCCTCAGAAGCTTCCTCCGTCTCCGAAACATCTACCGCTGCTGCGCGCAAAGTCCGCAAGCGTAACGACCCCGAGGCCTTTGCAAACTCCATCTCGAGAATCTTGGGCTCGAAATTATCGACGTCAAAACGCACAGAGCCTATTTTGTCGCGTTCGAAAGATGCGGCGACAGCGAACCGCGAGCTTGCTGACTCGAAAATTACCGAGAAAGTGCGCCGTCAACTCATTGCAGAGCGCAAGGCTGCGCGGGATAAGGGCCGTATCAGGGATGTTCTGGGACTGAATGATCCCAGCGTCAGCACAGAAGCGACATCGACAAAGGAGAGGGAGCTCAGGAAGACGGCACAAAAGGGTGTGATCAAGTTATTCAACGCAGTGAGGGCGGCTCAGGTCAAGGGAGAGCAGGCCGAGAGAGAAAGCAAGGCGGGCATGGTAGTCGGTATGGACAAGAGGGAGGAGAAGGTTAAGGAGATGAGCAAGCAAGGTTTCCTCGACATGCTCACTGGAGGGCAGAAGAAGGAGCAGATCGCTGAAGCATAAAAGCATGACAAGGAGTTGTTGAGAATGTTCATGATACCATTTACTATACAAGCGTTTTCCGAGTCGTCCTCTACGCCAGTGCATATGCAAGCTGAGTGTTTGTGTTATACATGCTTTGTACCAAATGTTGCGTACGTACGAAGAACCGAAAAGATGCCACCCAGCGTCGTATCTGGGACTTCTGCTGGGACCATCAAATCATCCCCTATTAGATCCCACTCCACGCCTCGATCAAATGGGCTTATATTGGACATGTTGTGAGGACTTATTTGCTCTCGAAATCGCTTGCCTGCAAGTTCCTCGTCATGCTCGGCAACCGTACTACCAGCCCATCCAGCTCCTTGCTCATCTTGACCTGGCAGCCCAGTCTGCTCGTCTCAGTGAGGCCAAAAGCCAAGTCGAGCATATCGTTTTCGTCATCGTCGGGCTCTTCCATCTTTTCGTAGTAGGCCTCGTCTTCGACAATAACGTGGCAGGTCGAGCAGGCGCATGAGCCTCCGCAGGCGCCCTCCATTTCTATGTCGTTTGCTTGGGCAACGTCAAGGAGATTGTCGCCGTCGGCGACTTCAAAGGTCGAGGAGTGGCCATCCTTGTCTATGAATGTAACCTTTCGTCTAGTATTGTTAGCGACTGGATCTATGAGTCAAGAGTAGACAGTGAAGACGCACTCTTCCCCAGGCCTAGGAGGGTCTAGGTGACCGTGGCGGGGTGCATGGCTGGCGGAGAATTGTCGGCTGTTTCGTAGCCACGAGGGACTTGTTGGAGTGGCTACTTTGAATTGCCGTGGTCGAGACGTGGCCGCCCTCTGCGTGTGCATCCCTCTCTGGCATGTCATGGTCGCCCAATGGCTGGTCGATGTCAGTGGAGTCGACAAGGCGCTTCTCGCGCCTGCTATCCGTCCCTCGACCAACATCCAGCAAGCTCGGTTCGCCGCCATTGTGGGTGTATGTGGTCGCTCAATTGAGAAGATGGCAGACGTCAGGGGGTAAGTGCGCAAAAGAGCAAATGTTTGCCAGGATAAAAGTCGCAACAAACGAAGCCGCCGATAAATCCGAATGCTGTGAGACGTCGACGACGAAATGTTGGCAGCACAGACCGCCCCACCCTGGTCCCTCTCTTGAAAGCGCATGCATCCACCACCAGCACTCACAAAACAAAACCGACAGCGGGCACCACCCTAAGGCCCTTCCTCTCCCCCATACCCCGCCTTCACCATGGCCTCCTCGCGCGATGCCCCAAACCCCCTCAGACCGTACTACATCCCGCCTTCCATTGGCCCGCCTCCAGAGGTTCCGCAGAACCAGACCGTCTCGTCACCACTCCCGCCCGCTTTCAAGCCTGCCCCCAGCAATAAATCGAGTCTGGGCAGCCAGGCACGCGACATTCTCTCAGATCTCGACTATGACGCGTACTTTCCAGAGACATCGCCCACAATAGCCGGCCATGCAAAGAAGCTGCTGGATCATGCGCTGTGGAACTACACAAGCGTGCTGCTTGCCCAGCCATTCGAGGTAGCGAAGACGATACTGCAAATCCACGAGGCCAAGGGACAGCTTTCCGCGCTCAAGGATGCTAGTGAGTGGGGCCACAAGAGAGGGCCAGGGAGCTTTGCCAGTGGAAAGTTTGAGGATGTAGGTACTCTGTCAATGACACCCCGTCTGACATGTGAATGTGGGCTAAATAACCGTGCAGTTCCCGCCTTCAGACGAAGAGTCTGACGAGGACTCTCCGGGATACTTCACCACAACAGCACCGCGCGTGAACCCCACTTCGCCATACTCGCCCAACGACTCGCCATCGAGGTCCCCGCGGAGGCGCCATCGACGACTCGATAGTCGATCCCCCTCGCGGACACCAACTCAACCCCCACCATCGTCACTCAGGAAACTAGAACTCAAGCGGGCAGACTCTCTTCTCGAAGTAATAGGGCAATTATGGCAGAAAGAGTCAGCTTGGGGAGTGTGGAAAGGCACAAACTGCACCTTCATCTACAACTTCCTGCTCAAGACGACTGAGGGCTGGTTTAGAAGTCTGATCTCAGCCCTGCTGAACATACCCGACCCCGGGCTTGTGGGGGCAGCAGGAAGCGGCATTGGGGGTCTCGATGTGCTCGACAGTCCCAACCCATTGACATCCCTCGGTGTCGCTGTTGCTGCAACAGCCATTGCCGCTACCCTCCTCGCACCCCTCGATCTAGTGCGAACACGCCTGATCATCACACCCATCTCATCCTCCCCACGCTCCATATACCCATGTCTCTCCCTCCTCCCTTCTCTCTCCGTCTCCCCCACCCTCCTCCCCGCAACCATAATGCACGCCTGCGTGCCCACACTTGTCTCCTCATCCACCCCTCTCTTCCTCCGCTCAACACTAAGCATCGACCCCATCCTCACCCCCGCCACCTACTCCTTCAGCACCTTCCTCTCCTCTACCGCTGAACTCTTCATCCGTCTCCCCCTCGAGACAGTTCTCCGCCGCGGCCAGGTCGCCGTCCTGCAAGAACACGAAGCACAGCGTGTCGCACAAGAATATCAGGCCCCACCCAGTCGCTCAAAGAGCCCAGCTTACGGTCTGGACAGGCCGAGTAACGACAACGGATTCGATACAATCGTTGATCCTGGTCAGTACAGGGGTGTCCTGGGTACCCTATGGTTCATTGTTCGTGAGGAAGGCATCTCAGTCTCAGGTCCCAGCGCGGCTAAAGCAGCAAGCGCAAAGGCAATGGGATTCTCCCGACCACCGCGTACAAGGAAGGGTCAGGGTGTGCATGGTCTCTGGAGAGGCTGGAGAGTCGGTGTCTGGGGCTTGGTCGGTATTTGGGGTGCTGCTGCTTTGGGTGGAGGTGGAGGCGAGTTTTAAGGCGATGACAACTGCAATTGGAACTTGCTGCCCTCTATGGAGGTTTTTATGAATTTTTCGTTTTTTTGCTGCGTTGCTGTTATGATCAGCGTATGCTAGATACACCAACCACTCTTCGCTGGCGTTGTTGAAAGATATTTATCCATTCGTACTAGATGCTTCACTATCAATTCGTTACAATGAGGGTTTATTGTGACTGCCTGGTCTGCTATGTTTCATTGTGCTTCGCACCTTGGTATAGATCGCGGCAACCCTAGTGTGACAGCTGCCAGATACATGTGTGCATGTTTGGTCTGGTGGTGGTCATTTTAAGCAAAAAGGGAGAGACTTTCAACCATAATTTGCTCACATCCGACCAATATCTAGCCGCATTTTCTACATTCTTTTTTCATTTCATCATCTATGTAATATATCTTTTTTTTTCTCTTCGTCATCATCATCTAGGTACAGTCTTGATTTCGTAGAAAGCCACAATGAGATGTTCCAACTTTTCCCCTTCTCTCCTCTTTCCTCTCTCCTCTTTCCCACTTCCATCCCAACCCACCACCACTTCAACCTCCGCCTCAACTAAGCCCACATAGCCCTAAACTTCATATCAAACTCCTCCTTCAATGCCTTAAACGCCTTGAGCACATTCAGCAAACCCTCTCCTTCCTCCCACGCAGGGGGTTCCTTGTCCTCATCCTCCTCAGCATCCCAACTCTCCTCAACCTCAGACTCCTCCTCCTCACTCCCCATCTCATCCTCCCAGCTCTCCTCGACCTTCTTCTTGGCCTTCTTCTTCGGCTGGATAGTAACTTCCTGCTTGAACGCGCCCTTGTTCGAGGAGCCAGCAGTGGTGGCACTGGCTTCCGTGGCCGTATCACTGGGTAGCATTTTGTCTTCGCGGTTTTCCTCTTCGTCGTCACCGCCGCCGCGGACGTCGATGAAGTCGAGGTCGGATTCGGTGGCGAGACCCAGGAAGCTGGAGAGACTGGTGGTGATGGTGGCGAGGGTCATGCTGAGGTCGTTGAGGACAAACCAGACGTCGCCGCGTCGGATCTTGTTGGCTTTGATCAGGGCTTCGACGTCGCCGTGTTGGAAGAAGTCGTAGAGGTAGGCGTTTAGAGGGAGTTCAGAGTCTTCCGGGTAGAGACCGACGTGGGGAACGACGGCTTCTTCGAGGAAGACGCCAGAACGGCTGGTGGAGCAGAGGTCGTGCAGAGATTCGAATTTGTCGTCGTGGCCAGACAAGGCGACAAAGGTTGAGCGAGCCTTGATGTTTTGGGGCTGGGTCACACCAGAACTTGGGGTCTTGCTGCCGGCGGTGACTTCGGTCAAGGGCAGAGTGTTGTCTGGGTGTTGTACATGCTGGTCGACGAATGTACGCACATAAGCAGTGAATATATCGAGCGTAGTCTTGTTGTGACGGCGCAAGACGTTGGTGGCCGTCTCTGGCATTGCCGGTAGGAACACAATTGACGGGCTCTTCTTGACCACTTCCTGGACGTACTCTTCATCTGCCTGTCGACAATACCTTCGGCCAAATAAGTGCGACATTGTGAGCATGAGCTCACGTAGAACCTGCTCCCTGTTTGTGTCGATCTTGGCGCACAGCTCATGAAAGTATCCGTCTTTCAGTAGCGCATGGAATGCAAATGATGAGTTCTCCGTAAAATAGAGATGTGAGACAGCGCCCGCAAAGTTGAGGGGGGTACCCTGTGCATCAAGAAGATACTGCCTGCGGAGATACTCGATAGAGAATCGCAAATGGTGGAGCACTGTCATCTTCGCATCCTCGCCGCCCAGGTACAATCGCGGTTGTGACAGCAGGGCGTTGACACAACGGACAGCAAAAGGCGCATTCCCTGACGAGTGCAGCAAAGTGAACAACCGCAAAACCAAAGTAGTGGTTATAGGGAAGTGGCCATTGAGGTCAGGGAGTCGGGAGCTGATGAGCTTGTGAATCTTGCTGAGTGCCACGCCATGGAAGACGACGTTTCCGAGCATGTCGAAACCACGACGACCGGCACGACCGGCTGCCTGGCGGAAGTTGAGAGCTGTCAAGAAGACAGAGTCACCTGAGAAGACCACAGTCTTACACGGCATGTTAATACCCAAGGCCAAGGTACCAGTGGCGATGACCACCCGCAGATAGCCCTTGCGGAAAAGCATTTCGACACAGTACCGGTACTTTCGGTTCATACCAGCGTGGTGGACTCCAATTCCACGCATGAGGCCATCAATCAGCCACTCTTCTACACCACGGTAACGCAGCTCCTTTGCGTGTACAGCAAACTCCTCCTGGGACAACTTCTTATGATCGGCAAAGTGAAATCCATCAAGAGGTTTATTCGGATCAAATGAGGCAAAAGCGCTAACTTCAACGCTAGCCGCCTCCTTCATTTGATCTTGCTTGGTCATGCCCTTGGAAGCATCTCCACGGAGACCCTGCTTCTCTCGTCTCTGCACCTCTTTCTTCCAGTCTTCCCATTGTTGCAGCTTGATTTTCCACTTGGGGCTTGTCTCTTTCCAGGCAATTTCGGCATCTACAAGTTGCTTCATGAGTGTTCGGCACATCTTCTCGCAAATCGCACGGTCATAGTTGAAGATGATACCCGGGAGTGCATCTTGTTGCTGCAGATCGGCTAGCAGTGGTAGTATGCTGGAAATGTCATGGTTGATCTCCATTCCTAGCTCGTCCACTTCTCCGTTGTTGTCGGTACTGTCTTCCTTAACTTCATCGGTGGGCGATGCTTCCTGAATACGGTTGATGGAACTGCTGAGGTCACTGCGCACCTTCTCGAAAGGCGATGCCTCATCCGCCATCCAAGCAGTGAGAATTTTTTTGAGGCCATCTTGCCACTTGATGATATCTGCCTTCTTGATGATAGTAGGGAGAATTTTAGAGGGATCGAGTGACTTGTCGACAGGGTACTTATCAGTTTGATGTTTGCACATAGTCTGCCACAGAGTCAGGCAGTCCCGGGCTTCGAGAGATAGATCGCTGGGAAGACCTCGGCTCCTGTTTATCAAGCTGGCAACAGGATGCAGGAATGCAAAATCCGCATGCTCATCGAGACCGAGCTGAGCAAATGACCGGTTAGCCGGAAGAGGCAAGTAGCTCGCTGGGTCACGCTTTGGAGGCGGCGTATAGACAAACTTGCGAAGATCAGAATATCTGTGCGGATGTTGTACCATCACAAGCTCATTGCCGGCAGCCTTTTGACTAGCTGAGAGCCAGTCGTTGAAAGATTCTGCATTGCCAATTGTCGCAGAAAGAGCGATGATAGGGCAAGGAGCCATGAGTAGCAATTGCTCCCAAACCAGTCCATCTTCGGCTTGTCCAATACAGTGGACTTCATCAAATATAATCCATTTCACTCTTTCAGACCAACCCCTGGCATTGGTGGGCGCCAACAGCATAATTTGCAAAATATGGGGTACTGTTACCAGAATCTGGCATCCCGTGGGATTGTTGATACGGTAATCTCTTGTGTGAATACCCCATACAGATTGACTGTACTTGTAATTCTTCGAAAATCGAGCTTGAATTTCGGCAGCGATCTGGTTGACAAGTGCTTTCGTTGGTGCAACATAAACCAGAACATCCTCATTGTTGGCTTCCAAGACTTGCTTCATGGCGTAAAATGATATGAAGGTTTTACCAGCCGAAGTTGGCGCAATGACAAGCAAGCTTCGCCGAGCATCGATCTCATCTAGTACCCGTCGTTGCCATGCGTCTGGCTCGAACGGTACACGAGAGTCTGGAGCAGAGTCGATCGTCCTATCAAAGTAAGGCCCACAATGGAGAAGCTGAAACTCTTCTGGGGACAGCGTCAAAGCAAGATCGGACACTAACGTGTCTTCCAGTGCCTGTAAAAGTCAGCATCAGCAATTCAAGATACGCAAAACACTGCAGGTCATCCAAGATCATACAGGCAACGCAAGTATCCAAGATGTGCTTCAAGCATCAATCAACTTACAAATTTAAAGGGCAGCTTCCGATCGCCTTGAGCTGACGGCACCTGAAGCTTCGGCAACTTCAATCGATCGATAGTAGCTTTGAGGCATATCGCAATGGTCTTGGTAACAGTCTCGTGGTTACAGAGAGTCCGTGCAGTATCGAATAAGAGTGCTGCAACATACAGACCCTTATCCTTCGCGTTGTCACGGCAGTAACGCACCCACATCTCTAGGAGAACGTTTAGCATGTAGATGCGCACATCTGCACCAATAACCTGACGCTGAGCCTCGCTGCGGTCCGCCAAATATTGTCTGGCTTTGTTGTACCGCGACGCCAGGTCAACCTGCTTTTCGAATCCTGCGCAAGAAACCGTCCAAGCCTGATACCATTGCTTTGCATTCTCTTCATCTTTGCGCTTAGAGCTTGCTGCAATACTGTCAAGCATGGCTTGTTTTGAGGCATTGATGTTCTTGGTGCTTTGTCTCTGCACTTGTTTTGGTCTTTTGTTTTCCGTGTTCGATGGCGCAGGCTTTGCCTTGTCGCCGAGGGTAATTGTCTCTGGGTCTAGAACTTTACCAACAGCATTCGTCAGACTGGCAGCGTACGAAGTCATCTCAGCCATGAAAAATTGATTCCGGCGAAGTGCTTTCTTCGCAATCTTTGGGTCTTTTTCTACGACCACTTTCGCCTTTTGATTCAAAGACTTTTGGCTGTGCCAATGTGTGACTTCACGAAAGATGGTAGCCGATGTCGGGTCTGGTTTTCCACTCGACCGAGCTACGTCAAGGTGAATTGGGGCTAGGTGAGGGTCGAAGACGTCGTTCGAGAAGGGAAGAACCTTGTATGTGAAGCTTTCGTCATCACTGCTGGTCTCGGGTGAGCCTTCTGCAGCAGGAGACGTGCTTGGTTGCAGTGGGATATCAAGATTGTTAAGAGCTTTTGTGGCTTTGAGAAGGACCTCAAAGTGCTCATTGGGCTTTGGCGAAGCCTTGCAGGCATAAAAAGCGAGCAATCGCCCGTCAATAAGGTCAGCTAAGTCACAATCTGGATGACCGGCGAAAGCTTCTGCCCATGCCGGACTGTTGATGAACCTGCGCGCTTCATGACAAAACTCTAGAATGAAGTTGTTGACCTCCTCAGGAATTTCTTGATGATTCAATATGCGCTCCGACAAAGCCAGCTCTGACAGGGCTGCTGCCTGTCGTAGTAGAATAGATGACAGATTCGCGTTTGAGGCTGAAAGCTTCGAAGCGACAAGCACTGTCAGATACTCACGCTCAGTCAGAAGCTGATCACATGATTCCCTGATTGTTTGTAGGAATCCACGCATGTGGGAAAGGTCGACAATGTCAGTGACATTCCTCTCAGGATGATGATTCTATGATTTGTGTCAGCACCTTATCAATGAAGAGCGCAGAACGCGACATAACAGTATTCATGCTTAGTATATACTTACTGCTGATGAGACGTCTAGGGTCAAGGAACGTGCGTGCTCCAAGACTGTTGTGACCACCTTTGTGTCCTGCCACTCAAGCCCATTCACGAGTGCAGCGCTGTAGCCGCGCTGCATCATGCTATAGATAAAAGTGCGAAATGATGACTTGTAGCTTTGATGACGGCCCTTTACACTTGGGTCCTCATCCTTGAGAGAGCCGAGGTCCTTGTGTCGCAACATCCTCTTGCGGATGTCTGTGAAAGAAGCTCCATCGTGACAGAGCACAAAGTAGATATCGGTAGCACGTAGGTATTCTGAAAACTCGACTGAGGAAACTGAAGGGAAAGTGTGGACTTCAGTCTCTGGGACAGCGTCTGGCAGATTGACCCTGAGGTGACGAATGATGGCTGCTCGTGCAAGCAGATACTTCTCGCTAACGGCGGGAGAGGCATCTTGAGGCACACAGAATTCTTGATGCTCGTCAAAGAAAGCGATGTGGAAGTTGCAGCTGCGGGACAGGAGGCCCTGCAGATATTTCTCAACAGTGTACGAGGCGTGTAGTAATTGGTAGCCTGGGTCGAAGTCGAGATGTGGGTCGCTAAAACACTGGAGTAGGAGTGATTCGCCGTGTACGAGAAATCTCTCGCTCCCTGCGAAGTCGCCTACCAGGTCGACCCGGCGACTGTAGAGATTGGAGTACCATTGGAGAATCTGCTCCGTGGTATCCTGCTCATTGGCGGCCATGATGAGTCCGCACGTGATTGGAGGATTCCGGTGCGGTTCGGAGGTAAAAGGCCAATAATGAAGGTAAGGTGAGGAAAGAGTGTTCTTTTAAAGGAGCTACCAAGTGGCAGATGCCGTGGGGTAACCGCTGGTGGCGGATAGTGGGGACTTGTCGATCCCGTGCCAAGACCTAGATATCTCTCGCAGCAAAACCCGGGAGACGACGTGGTTTTTGTGTGTTTGCAGTATAAATCAGATTGCGTAAGACAATAAAGGAGAGATAGAATGCTTGTCTAGTAAGGGTTGCACGTATATCTGATCGGGTGTACAGTGAACCGGGGTGGAGCCGCACTGTCTGGGTTTTCGAATTTGGAAAAGCCGAAAAGACCACGCGACTAGTGCGCGCTAATCAGTAAGCGAGGTGGAGTGTAGCACCAGGGGATAATACTTGGGCATGGCAATCAGGCTTAGTCGTCCTACTGTGTAATGTTCTGACCGGAATATTAATCAGATGCCCGGGCTCGCGAAGTGGAGCCTGTAGTTTTGCTAGACTAGCTCATCCGCTGCTGCCACTAACAGGGGTTTGTTAGCCCATTGGCCATTGTATCTATTCCAGCAGAGGAGGGAAATAAGTGGCTAGATATACCAGAACACAAGGAATATCATGTAGACAATGTTTGTATTTGGGGAGAAAGGCGCCGCTTGGCGGTACGTTACAAAACCGAACGGGCATATCCGCGTACTTGAGCTGTGTAGGAATACACCCAGCTATTCATTTAACCGAACGCCCCAACACCCAATTCACACCCTAGATAAGCGAAACAAAGAAAGGCCCAAGACTGCCAAAATCCATATCTGAATCAACCTACACTACCCATGTTACTCGTACAGGATACTTGACAAAATTCGGCGTGGCGATGAAGGTCTGAGGCACGGAGTACGATAAGCCGACCGAAAGGTGGTGCGGATTATTATCGATGGAAAATGGTAATGTGAGAAATCGCAGTTTACTTTTGGAGAAATGTCAGAAAGAGTTGGACTGGATAAAGAGTGGCTGCTTACCGACCTGGCATTACTAAGCCTGAACTTAGATGTCAAGTGGGGCCAGTGTATCAATCTTGGTAGAGCATTAGCTGGATACAATGTTTCTTTCAATACTACTCACAGAGACGAGACGACTCCAGTGAGCTGGGCTAGGCGGAGGTTGAGGGGGAGGAGATGGAGGGTCATCTCTCGAGCGGTCTTGCGGTGGCATAGTGACAGCCAAACTCGATCCGTGGTAGGAAGAGCGCGTGTTGATGGAATCAGATGTTGTGCCCGTCAAAGATTGATTCAACATGACCATGGTGGAATGAATGAAATTGACGGTGGAGTGGATAGATGCGATGTTTGAGGTTCAGGACAGACTGTTTAAAATTACGTTTCGATAAAGGTTGGGATGAGTAGAAGGGGAAGTGTGTTGTGCGGGACAAAACGCTAAAGTAGTCTCGAGGTTAAATAGTCTGAGGCGCGGTTTTGTTACGCTCCCAATCCAAAACCTCTAGGCACTGTTTAGTGGCTTACACGGGAGTCTGTCGAGCTGGCGTATCCAAACCGCCACGGAAAAGACAACCAGGGTCACAGCGGGCCGGGCGGGACAGACGGGTGGCGTCAGGCAGCACCAAGTCCGAAGCAGCGGGTGAAGCTGAGGCTGAGGCAGTTTGGCAGAACAGGAGCACGAAGAACAAATCAAGATGTTGGCCTGTTGCAGAGGCCTGGGTTACGGGCCGGATACTGAACCTGAGGAAGGGAGGGAAACAACGTGGCGGCGAGCTACAGTTGAGCAATTGTGGCACAACGGTAAGCAGGGATAGGCACTGCTTCTTGACTACGAGGCGGCGGGGAAGACGGACCGCAGCCGTGACAGCCAGTCGATGGCACTGCTAGATAAGCTTTGCTTTCCTTCCCCGGAAGCATTTGCAAATGGCGGTCTACACAAGACCAGGACCTCGTCGATACGCGAGATGTCCTGTTTGGATGGGATTATCAGCGGGAAAAGCGCCCCCCCAGAAGGACGGCAACATGGGCCGTCATCGGGGCGCATTTCTGGCGCCGCTGGTGCAAGAGTCGGCAGAGGCTAGCACGTGGTGAAGCGGCAATGTTTGTCTATTTCTCAAGTGAAGCAAACAGCGGGCCAATCCAAGGGCGGTGTTGCTCTACGCACACCTATACACTTGTTGACGCGGATGCGTGCATACGCAGCGACTACATCCATCGGTGTGAATGTGGGCGGGGATGTGTGTGAAGGTGTGTGTGTAAGTTCGACGGTTGTGGGGAGGGTGGGCGTGTGTAGTGTAGTAGTGGTGAGGGAGACCATGGCCGGCGTAAGTAACGACCAAATGGCGCGCCAAGACTGACGCGAGGACCGTCACCCATCGCGACTTCCCTCTGCGCGCGCAGACCCGCCTTGCAGCCAATCCAAGCCTGGGGCGGCTCAATTCACCTCTCTCCGCAGTAGCCACAGTAGCGCCACGACTACGACTACGACCATCATCACCGCGCCGTCGTATATGAAACGCGGGGATACACAGCTTGCAATCTCCGCGGCGACATCTTCCCACTACCTGCGCATGCGCGCGTCCGGCATGTGCTTCACTGGGTCGTAGGGCTAACAATCACAAATTCCGCCGCTGCGTCACCCGCCTGGTGATACCCTCTCCGCCCTTCCATCGGCTTCCTCCCTGCGTTCCGCTTGATTCCCTCCGCGCTTCGCACGACACTCTGCCATCATGTCCTCAGTCTGGAACCCCGACAATGTGCGAGACGTGGCCGAATCAGTAGGCATTGCCTCACTCGCCGACAACGTCGTCGAAGAGCTAGCCCGTGACGTCGACTTTCGTCTGGCCCAGGTCCTGGAGGAAGCGCTCAAGTTTATGCGACACGGGAAGCGGACAACACTGAGCACACAGGACATATCCAATGCCCTCAAGGTGCTCAATGTGGAGCCTCTCTATGGCTACGAATCTACCCGGCCGCTGCGCTTCGGCGAGGCTTCACTGGGACCTGGCCAGCCCTTGTACTATGTCGAGGATGAGGAGGTCGATTTCGAAAAGCTCATCAACGCTCCCCTGCCCAAGGTGCCACGGGAAATCACCTTCACAGGTAAGCTACATGCCCCGTCACTTGCCCTGTCCCCAATTTTCTAACTCTGCCCAGCCCACTGGCTTGCCGTAGAGGGAGTCCAGCCCTCTATACCCCAGAATCCCAATACCAACACTGCCGACTTGTTACCCAAAGGCCCTAACGCAAACCCACATCTGGCTGCTGCCAACGGGCTCGACAATGTCAACGTCAAGCCTCTCGTCAAGCATGTGCTCTCCAAGGAATCCCAAGAGCTGTTCAACAAACTGTCGGGCGCTCTTGTCGATGAGACAAATATTGAATGGCAGAATGCAGCCCTGGCTGCAATCTCGACAGAGCCCGGTATCCATCAGCTGACAACATATCTTTTAAGCTTCATAGCCGAGAAGGTTACACACAATATGAAGAACTTGTTCATACTCAGCCAAATGATGCGCGCTTCCGAGGCCTTGTTAAACAACCAGGCCATCTACCTCGACCCTTATATTGCCTACATGGTCCCACCGATCCTGACTTGCTGCATTGGCGGAAAGCTAGGACCAGCAAACCAACCCGCGCCCTCCAATGCCTCTTCCGAGACTCTGGGCGGGGCGGTACCCGACTACAGCCGCGCTGCTTCTGATGCCTTTTACTTGCGAACACTTGCAGCACACCTTCTCCGGAATATTTGCAGAAAGTACTCGTCATCAAACCAGGGACTGAAATCCCGGATCGCCCGCACGTGTCTAAAGCAATTCATGGACCCTGACAAAACAGTGGGTGCGCATTTTGGCGCTCTACAAGCTCTTCTTCTCGTCCTTGGTCCTTCTGATGCACTCCGAGGATTGATTCTACCCAACATAAAAATGTACAGCGAGGATTTCCTTGCCAAGAAGCTGGCCGATGAGAGCACGCGCCATGATGCGGAGATACTGCTTGAAGTACTCGTCGGTTCCTTCCCTGCTCTCGTTCCAAAGGCCGTCAGAGAACGAGCCGAAAAGGCAAAGAGAGAGGGAACATACACAGCGTCCAATCTCGAAGATGTGCGAGAAAAGCTGGTAGACAAAGTCGGTGATCTGGTAGCCGGGCGTCTCATTAGCAAGAAGATGGACCTGGAAGCACAGGAGCTACTGAGCAAAGATTTTGACATTTGAAACATTTAAATCACGTTGATTTTCTCTTCGTCTTGAACGGTGAGAGCATTTTTGGCGTTTTTATCTCTTAATCTTTTCAATGGGGAGACGTAAAAAGGGCGTTTAAGCAACGTCTTCTATGATACCATTTTTCTCCTCTCAAGACTCAGTGATATCTTTACCACTGTCTCACATATGTAGCTTGGTACAGAAATCAACAACTCGGTTAATTCTTCCCTGTCATCGTTGCTCCCCTTAATATGTCCGAATTTCACCATTCCCAACTTCCATCTTTCACTTATCATCCGTCCACCTCGCCATTGCAACAACCACATCATCCACACCCCCATCCACCATCTCAACCCCCCTTTCCACAACCTTCATAACACCACTCCGTCCGTTCCTCTTCTCCCGCGCCGGTACCTCCCCATCAACCACCCGCCCACGAGACAACTCCCTCATCTCACTCTCCACAGCCTCCATCTCCGCAAAAAACATCGCTCGCGCCCTCATCCACTCCCCCTCCGTCCTCTCCACACGCACACCCTCCCCCTCACTGGGTGGATCCAAAAAAGGATTCTGCGGCGACCCCGGTACTGCGTTGTTCCGCCTGCGATACCGCGGTGTAGGAGGTACGTCGATACCCGAAATCAGCGCTGCACTTTTGTCTGTAGTTTGATGCGTGTTTGTGGGGTCGGCAAAGGGGTTTGCGACGTCTCTTGTATCTTTGCTCTCTTCTTTGCTGCCATGTTGCGTTTGAATGCTGTCGCTACGCTTCGCTTCGCTCTGCCATGCTTCTTCGTCACTAGGCGCCGCTTTGCTAGGCGCCGCTTCGCTGTGCTGCACAATACAGCATACTACCACCGTCCATGCGAGTCCCAGCGCCGCGGCGCACAGCGTACCCAAAAAGAGCAGTTTGAGACCCAAGGGCAGTGTGGTTGCGAGGGACATGTCCGGTGAGCCTGCCATGGCGTTTTCTGGGCAGCGAGTGCAAGAGGTGGAAGGGAGGGTTGTGTATGGCACAATGGCGAAGGGGTAGAGGAAGTTTGGAGGGGAAGGGCGGGGGTAGGATGATTGTGTTGTTGGATCTGGTGTGGGTGGTGAGCTGGTTGTGTTGAGTGTTTGGAGGATATCGCGGGTTGTGGGGGTGGAGAAGGGGAGTGAATGTGAGGTATGAGTGTGGCGGAAGCCAGGGACTACACCTTGGATTTGGGGTATGGGGAAGTGATTTGGATCCGTGGTATGTGATGTGCGGGAGTGGGCTGGACTTGGGGGTGCGGTCGTTTCTTTGGGCTGCTCAGTGTTTGTTTGCATCGGCCGGGTAGAAGTTCCAGAAGATGAAAAATGCGGTAATGAGTTTTGGTTGCGGTGATGTGCTAGCATATCTGGGGACATGGACGACATGATTGTTTCTCCGAGTCTAGCAATGTTGTGAACATGTATGGTACAAAGCGAAAGGATGCTTTCAAAGGCGTTGTGTCGATCCGTGGCGTTTTAGGAACGACAGTGGATAATAGTAGTATATTAGGTGCACAAGTATCGCAAAGAAGCTGGGAAAATAAAAGAAACAAGTTCTTTGTTCACACCAGGAGCCATGTTCCTGTCTTGGAAAGTCGCGCTCGTTCTGGAAGCAGCGTGTGTGGAAGCAAACGTTCAAGGCAAACGAGCAACTCGGACAGTTCAATAAAGTTACTCAGCCTTGATTATTATCCAACGGGAATTTCAGTCACTTCAATCAAGATAAAGTCAAACATGGGACAACGTGATTATATCTCAGAAACTATTACATGTATATATGTGACCTAAGTACAGCAAACAATGGAGCTGACTGGTAAAAACAAAAAGACGCCACCCAATGAAATGTGTTGCCCTAAATGTGACACTCTATACCACGCAACGACAGTGCTTTTGGTCAGCTAAATGATCCTCCAATGCAGAAAAACAGAAATGGCGATGTGTCAAGATGCAGAGACAACATCGCTGTAGCTATGAGTGCAAGCCCATGTGATGTACCATGCTAGCACGGCGAATCCTCACATTCAAGTCATGCCAACCTCTCATGTTCACTAACGTATCCTGAAACTCGTGAAATTCCATACACATCATGTCCTTCGGCGTATTGCGTTTATCGTCGATTGAAGTTGAGGTACTTGGCCGCAATGAAGAGAATGGCCAGGTTACTGACGATGAAGGCGATGAATATACCAAGGTCCCTCCATCGGTTGCTGAAATCGTATCCAAGAGGAGTGTAGAATTCATCGCCGACCTTGTAAGCGCAGTACTCGCACGCATTGGTCAGGTTATCGCGAATGTATCCCGCTCCACCGCTGGAGAAGAAGTCGCTCATGTATGACCCGCAGTCCTGACCTTGGGGAGATTGGAACTTGTTGTATTCGGTGGGGGTACACTGGACGCTTTGACCGTGAAGTTCCGTAACGACCATACCACCGATCAAGCGTGTGAATGGGTTAAGCTCGTAAAGCCAGACACGCCAGAACTTGGGGATGGAGGGCTTGGGGATCGTGACACCGCAGAAGAGCGCGAAGATAATCTAAAGTTGGAATTAGCCAGTGGTTCATAACATTGATACGGAGCCAACTTACAATGATGAAGGGGTTGCAGTAGGAAGCGATAAAGGGACTAGGTGTCAAGGCAGCGACCGCCTGGCCCAATGTAACGGAGAAGATTTCGGTGATCAGGATGATAAAGAATTGATATCCTGCACGCGAAGACTCCGAGTTGAGGCCGGGGATGTAGTATATCGGGAGGAAGAATGCAACAGCGCACAAGATACTGTACGGCATCTCGGCAATGACCATGGAGAGTGCAAAGGGGAACGTCTTGTAAGCCTTGGACATTTGCTCGCGGAAAGAGATGGTACGCTGAATAGCATACTTTGGCTCAACCTGAGCGAGGATAAGAGCTGGAAGGACGGTAACCTGGAAGATGATGAAGACACGGTACTGCAAAGATGTTCGAGAGTTGTCGAGGTTGAGGTACATGAGACCTGTGAGCAGAGCAATGATGACGTGGTTGAACAGACGGGTGAAGCCGTAGTTGGGAGTGCGCCAGAAGGCGAGGTTCTGGCGTCTGACAACTTGCTTGATCTGGTACGATATTGGCGTGGCAAACTCCTTCTGTTCAACTGGCTCAGCGCTACCGACGGCAGCAATGCGTTCCTCTTTGAGCTGGGTAATGTGTCGCTTGACCTCGGCGAACTCTTCAGAGTCAGTCCAGACGTCTGCCCAGTCGCGGTCACCAATACGGGGAGCAGAACCAGCGCCTACAGCGTCGAGCATCCATTCTGCTGGGTTGGCATCAGAAGGGCAGTTGGCACCGTGGCGGCGGAAGTAGTCGAGAAGAACATGAGCATCTTTACCAATGTCGCCAAAGTATACGCATGTGCCACCGCGCTGGAGGAGCAGGAGGCGGTCAAAGTTCTCGAAAAGAGCAGAGTTCGGCTGGTGGATGGTGCACAGGATAGCTTGACCGGCAGCAGCCAGTTTACGGAGGAAACGGACAATGTTGAAAGCGCTCTGAGAGTCGAGACCAGAGGTAGGCTCGTCCAAGAAGAGAAGTAGCTCGGGCTTGGCGGCAAGCTCAACACCAATGGTGACACGCTTGCGCTGTTCAACTGCCAAACCATTTTCGGGTTCTCCGATAATGGCATCAGCGATATCTTCCATCTCCAGCAGAGCAATAACCTCCTCAACGTATGCGTACTTCTCGGCTTGAGGCGTCTCGAACGGCTGGCGCAAATCGGCGGAGAAGCGGAGCGCTTCACGTACGGTCGTAGTGGGTTCGTGGACATCGAGTTGTTCGGCGTAGGCAGTTCCACGTTGGAAGGCGATACCAGGTGGCTTACCATCGACAAGCTTATCACCACTGATGACACCAATGTTCTTGCGGTTAGCAAGCACATCGAGAAGTGTCGTCTTACCAGCACCAGAAGCACCCATAAGAGCTGTCAATTGGCCGGGCTTGACGTATCCGTAAATGTTCTTCAGCAGACGTAGCTCTCCACCAGGAACGGGGACATCGTAGCAAAGGTCTTCCCATGTGAGGACTGCCTTGGATGCGACTTTGAGGTCTGAGCCCTCGTCACTGCTGGCCTCTCCGCGGTTGCGCCTGTTACGTTTCTCCTGTAGTTGAGCGTTGAGCTCCTTGAGTTCCTTGTCCTCTTTGACGAAAAAGGTTACTGTACGGCCACCTGCGCCCCACTTGACAAACTCTCCAAGGAAAGCGTTTGCGAGAAGGAAACCAATGATGAGTGCAACCATGATGCCAAAGTTCATCCAGAGATCAGATGGATCCCATGAAAAGGAGGCCTTGACATAGTCGGTACCGGAAACAATTGCGTTTCCCGCCTTGCTGCCAGGCAGAGTGCAAACTTGGGAGTTGAGGTTGTTGTAGCCAGGTCCAAAGGGAATAAGAGAAGCTCCAGTGCAAGTGAGATCCAATCGTTTGAACTCGTTCATCATCAATGCTGCAAAACCAAGACCCAAGGCATTGATGTAAAAGATCCAGCGAAGCCACTTCTGCTCAGAGTCCCATTGAATAAGGTAACCAGATGTCAAGACGAACAGCGTGATGATGGTAGAGGCTAGACGAATAGCGACATCGAAATCAGGGCAGAGACAGCCGACCGTTCGGAAAAACAGGGTCATGGCTAGGTATCCAGTAATGATAACAAGGACAAAGATGAAGAAAGCTGCAGCGTCTCTGACCAGGTTCGTCATGAAATAGACGATGATGGAAAAGACGAGAATCTGCACCGATGCAAAGAGTAGATCAACACCGATTTGAGCTATCCAAAGAGCCGACGGGCGATGGAAGGTAAAGGCGCGATGTTTGTTGACAATAGGCCGACCCATCATGGTAGAACCTAATTCCGAGAATGCCTGGAAAGCGTTGAAGAGTAGAGCAATGAAGAGGACACCTCCACGTGTGAAGGCGCCAGCAGAGGTTTTTGGAAGATCCAGCCAGACGGTACCGACGATAATAGCAATTGCCATGGATGT